CAAGGGACCTAATCTTATCTTGTGGGTTGAGAACCAATGACATTATGGTGCTCCTTTGTCCAATTTTTCATTGAGAGAGACAGATAAAATAAAAATAAAACAAAATAAAGTTAACTGTGAATAAAACTGAAGGAGTTACCAGCTCACTGTGTTCCATGGCATCCAGCATAACTTTAATGTACTTGACTCCACTGAATAGGTTACCTTTTTATAACAAAAACTTTCATTCCTTGATAAAAATAATGTCTTTCACATATTTCCACTCTATCCAGATTTACTGTACTTTTACTTATTCATTCTCCAAACTACTGATGGTAGAGTGGAATAAATCTGTATACAATTTAATGCAGATTCGTGAAATGTAATTTGTATTCTGAATAGTCCTAATATTTCAATAAATCAGTATTCACCAGTAAAATTTCATCTCCATCGTTAATAAATTCCAAGATTTTAAAGAAATTTCTGTAAAGTACAGACTGCTGTATACATGACTCATTAAACAACTCACATAACAAACATTGTGAACTTGTCAACAGAAAACTTTGTTCTCCATGTCTGTGGCACTTTTGTTGATTAATGTTCATGGAAGTACAGTACAGTGGTCCCTCGGTTAACGAGCGCCTCGGTTAGCGAGATTTTGGTTGACGGGCTACCTTCCATAAGATTCTTAACTTCGGTTAACGAGCAATCCCTCGATTAACGAGTTTCTTACGAGCCGACCTCCACATGTTTTAGCTTGCATTTGGAGGTCCACCAGCTGTAGTATTAATCCGTCAATACAGTAATCGGTTCTAGGGCTTAAATTCCTTACCCTTTTAGTAAATATCAAGAAGTTTATACTATTCAATAATTTTAAAAGTTTAATATTAAATTTTTTAGTCATTTTAACAATCATTGAACATAACTGAAGGTAGGGTCACTAGTTTGTGGCACGCCATCCAGCCTGCCAACACAGCATACAGGCGTCAGTCTTTTTGTCTTTTCAGTGGAGGTAACATCTTGCTTGAGACTTTCTTCAACTAAACGCTTTTTTTCTGTGTTTACAAGCAAATTATTGGTCATTTTGAAGTTTATTTTACATATTGACAATATAAAATGCAGTGCAGTGTTGATTTAAAGAAAATAATCTTGAATTACACCAAGAGAACTAAAATTTTATGGGTGAAATGGCGCCATGGGGTGACTTCTCTTCCACCCCAATGCCTTCTCTTCTCCCTTCTCCTCCACCCCCATTCTAATTCCCATCATCATCATCATCATCATCATCATCGAGTTTTTCGGTTAACGAGCAACCTTCTAGAACGGAATGTGCTCGTTAACCGAGGGACCACTGTACTGCACACTTTTCGTGCAGGATAGATGTACAGTAGACCTTTCCCTTTCGTGGGTTTATTTTTCGCGATTTTGACGATTCGGGTGGCTAGCATGCGAGCCTTCTCCCACAGCACAACGAGTCACCCCACACGCCCGCGGCGTCTCATCTCACTCTGTTTGCCCTCACCCAGTACCCGTGACCTCGCATCCTGTGTCATACTCTCAAAACTTTCGCGGTTCTTTGTGAAAATGGCCCCGGAGAGACTGCCTAGTGTCAGTGCTAGTGATGCAAGTGGAGTGAAACATAAAAGGCAAAAGTCAGTGATGACCCTGGCAAAGAAAATTTAATTATTTGAAAGGTTAAAGGATGGAATGAGTGTTGCCACGGTTGATCGGTTGTTTGGGGTAAACGAATCGACAGTGCGGTACATAAGAAAGAATGAACAAGCAATTCGTGACTCTGTTCAAGAGAGTGCTCCTGCAAGTGTTAAAGTGGCACAGGTTGTTTGTGACAAGAACATAGTGAAAAATGAGAAAGCACTGAACATTTGCACTGAGGACCAGCACTGCAAAAATGTTCCGATGGACAGCAATGTAATTCGTGAAAAGGCTAAAAGTCTTGACGCTCATTTTTATGAGTCAGCTGACTGGGGAGACCGCATCAGCTGACCACACAGCCGCAGGTACCTTTCCTGCCAAGCTAAAGAAAATAATAGAAGAGAAAGGCTATAGACCAGAGCAAGTGTATAATGCCGATGAATCTGGTTTATATTTGGAAGAAAATGCCTGGAAGAAAGTACATAAACAAGCAGGAGAGGCATGCCTCTGAGTTCAAGACAGCCAAGAACAGAGTGACGCTCATCTTCTGTGGCAATGCGGCTGACCACATGATCAAACCTGGCTTGCTTTACCGTTCAGCAAACCCTAGGGCTTTAAAGGAAAAAACAAGAACCATTTGTTAGTGTTTTGGCAGTCCAACAAAAATGCATGGGTAACTGTGCAAGCATTCCTGGACTGGTTCCACAAATGCTTCATCCCAGAAATGGAAGAATACCTTGCTTCCAAGAAGATGTAATTCAAGGTGTTATTATTGATAGACAATGCACCAGGCCACCCAGAAAGTTTACAGTTTAGGCATTCAGATGTAGGTGATGTTCCTATCCCTTAACACCACTGCTCTTATCCAGCCTCTCGATCAGGGCGTAATACTCACCTTCAAGGCATATTATACACGCCGCTCTTTTGGTTGTATTCGTAGTGCCATGGATGCAGACCCTCACCTTGATGTTAGCAAGTGTTGGAAAGAGTGCAGCATTGCGGACTGCATTACCAGCATCAGTGAAGCATTCAAAGAACTCAAACCAGATACAGTGAATGCTTGTTGGCGCACCTTATGGCCTGAGTGTGTGAATAATTTCCAGGGATTTTCGTCCATAGTAAATGATGTAAATGACATTGCGAGTGTTGCACGTCAGTTGGGTGTTGAGGGGTTTGTGGACATGGCTGCTGAAGACATGGAAGAGCTGAGGATTTGGAAGAGTTGGTAGAAAGAGCTGAGGAAGATGAAGAGGAAGAAATTATGAAATTACAACAAGAAGGTTGATGCTTGGGAAATATTACAAGAAGAAGGTTGGTGCTTGGCAAATTTTGAAGAGCTATTTCGTCAGGTAAAGATGGTGAATGATTTCATTGCTGACCACAACCCTTCCATGGAACACAGCCTTATGATGGTCTGAGGAATCAGCCAGGTATTGTTTCCCTATCATGAAATGTTTAAAGACCTCAAAGCAAAGAGGAAACAACTACTAATCACCATGTTTTTCAAGAAAGAACTGCCGCCGCTCCACCCTCCTCCTCCCAGCCACCACTTCACCACCTCCCTCCTGGCCACCTCCTGGTCGCACATCACTCCACCACCCGCTTCTCCACCAACCACCACTGATTCACCCTCTTCCACCATTGATCGTGATGATCCACCTATGCTCCAGTAACCAGATGTCTCCCTATGTACAGTGCACCACTTCAGCAAGCTCCAAACTTCCACATACGAATGTAAGTATTGGTGAATTAAGTTTCTCACACACAGTATAGATATACCTGTATATTAGTGCACTAAGGTATTACATAAGTGGCTATTTGCAGTTTTGCCAATTCGCGCCATTTCTTGGAACCTATCCCTCGTGAATGGCAAGGGTTTACTGTATTTCTTAAGCACTGTTGAATAATGATCAAAAACTGGTGTAATTGAAGAGAGAGAAATATATCGAGAGACAATAATCTAAATTATTCCTCCTAATCCAGATATTTCTTTCTATTAAGAAGTACTTTTGTGTTCCTGTTACACACACACTTAAGAAGAAATAAATGCTTAAAGCCAATTCTAGCATTCAGTTTGCACCAAATTAAAGTACCTGTACTTGTTTTGAGATCAAGTCTTTACTTTTCTTCTTAATACAGTGGTCCCACGGTTAACGAACACAATTCATTCCAGAAGGTCGCTCGTTAATCAAAAATTTTGTTAACCGAATCCATTGTTTCAATGGGATATTGGGTAATTGGTTCCAGCTCACCGAAAAGTACATACAAAGTAAAAAAAAAAAAAAATGCAGTAAAGTACACTTACTTTGAGGTGTGTATGTAAAAGGTTCCTGGTTGATGATGATGATGGGAATTAGAAGTGGGGGTGGAGGAGAAGGGAGAAGAGAAGGAAGTGGGGATGGAGGAGAAATCACCTTTCAGGAAACCATGCTTGATGCAGTCATTTCACCAATAAAATTTTAAGTTCACTTGGTGTAATTCAATATTATTTTCTTTAAATCAACACTGCACTGCACTGACCTATATATTATCAATATGTTAAATAAATTTCAGAATGACAAATAATTGTATTGTATACTGTAAAAATGTAAAAATACTCTGTATTCAAGAGACCCACAAGCAAGATGTTTCCTCCACTGAACAGAGACTCAAACAGATGCCTTGGTGGGTGAGTGAAGTGGCTGATGGGTGCACAAAAAACTAGTTCCCTGTACTGCAATTATGTTAAATAAGTATTAAAATGACTAATAATTTTAATATAAAACATGAAAAATATTAAATAGCACAACCTTCTTGATATTTACTCCAATGGAAACGAATGTAAGTCCTAGAACCGATTACTGTATTGGAGGACTAATCTACCAGCCGATGAGCAAGCCAAACATGTTAACATATTTTCGAAAGAATTTTGTTAATCAAATTTTTGTTCGTTGACCAAATTGAAGATTCTTATGGAAAGTAATTTGTTAACCGAAATTTCGCTAACCGAGGGACCACTGTATTATTTTTTAAATAATGCTTCAACACTCTTATACTGTGGATTAAGGCTTCAGAAACCAAATAAAATTAAAGAAACAATATCAACACTTACACAATAAAATTCCTGTACAATAACTGATTTCCTATAAAAACAAATTATATAATGACACCATCTAAAATTTGGCTATGCTTACAATGCCGCCAAAAATATTATTTTGTACAGATAATTAGAAATTTTCTTCCACAATCCACCAATAAATATACTTCTTTTTCCATCCTTCCTAAAAGTGATCATCAGACGTTTTTTATAAACATTCTGTACCACAATAACTTAGTCGTCATTTTCCAATACATTCTCCTTATTATAAAAGAGTACAGTGCAGTAAATGCTAAACTCACATGTTTATTGACAAATCCACAAAATTTACACATACTGTATAACACTTGTATGTTTGTACAGTACAGGGGATTATTTATTTTTCTTGTGTTTCTCAGTCCTTAAACTCTGTTGTTTTAGAGGTTCTTGTGGGACCGTTGGTGTCGTTGGTTCCTGTAGAGGATGCAGCTGGTCCTGTGTCAGCCTTTGGAAAGTCACCCGAGTTTGTTTCCTCTATGGCTTTCCGCAGCTGGTGGGGAGGGAGACAATGAAGTTATAATGATTGTGTCAAATAAATGATAATTACATTACTGACTGAGTGACACCACTCTATGATAAGATGATGTCACTGTACATGAATTCTGAAGATAAACTGAGACTTTTTAGACCATAAAACTTCACTAGTGTCAGCAAAATAAAATATATTAGCTGTAAATTTCTACAAGCAGAGGGCAATCTACTGGTATACAGATAAATAGCAATAAGAGGATAACTTCAGTCTAAACACATTAAATTGAATACTGACTGTTAGGTGGTGGTGTACACTTAATTTTGTATTATCAATATTATTCTTCACACATATTTGTAATTTTTGCACATGTTACATCATCATGCACAACACCCAACTAACACACAGAGGAAGGTACTGTATCTAAAAAAAAAAATTAGTGACATTGTGTCAAAAATCATTGGAGTTCCCGTGACCTAAAAATATGGGAACATGAAATCTAAAGGATTGCAGCTACTGCAAACATATTCTACATAGGCATCTACAGTATATACAGCTATGCAAATAAAAATAGTACAACAGAATGCAATTTTACAAAGACTGGCATAGTAATCAGTAATATAAATACCAATCATACATTCATATACAAAATTACTGTATTATTACTACAGGAAAAAAGTGTTTTCTCTCTCACAAGCTCATCATAATTTTGATGAATGCCTAATTCATCCATCTACCAGGTATATTTCAAGTAGTAGTTAAAAATATTTTGGGGGACTTAATGAAGGAAAAAAATATAGAAGTGGCCTTTGAAAGCTCCCAGTTATCCAGGGCTTGAAAAGTGCCAATAAAGACAGTTTCTGGTCAGCTGAACCTCACTCTTAGCATGTCCCAATAAATCCTACATTACACAGTGCTACAGATTGACATTGAAAATTTGTTTCTCAGAAAAATAGACTTCCCTAGCACTTATTCCATTCTATATAAACGATGTGGCATAAAAACAAAGAAATTATAATACTGTATAAAACTATAAAATAAGAAAAATGGAGAGCACGGATGTGTATGAGTGACAGGTTAACGTGTGTGGAGGCAATGGGTTATAACCAAGGCCTTCGCTACGTTACTGACTCGCCATCCCAGCTTCTGTATATTGTTACTTCTAATGAAATTACAAAACTGGTGTAAAAATCATTTCAATACTCTAATGTGGCTTAGAGATAAAGAAAATATAATATAAAACTATAAAATAAGAAAAATTAAAAGCATGGGTTTGTATATATGGAAAGTGAATGTGTGTTGAGGCGGTGGGTTACCGGGCTTAAACTGTGTGGCAGCGCTCCCTCTTGATATGATGTCATGGTATACACACAACCACTCAGCCAGTGAGCCAGCCACACATTTAAGTGTGGAAGGAGCTATTTTTTGTACATAAAATATGTGCTTTTGTATTTTATGATCTACTATGTATCGATTTTATTGTTTATTATAGCAATAAATATGGCAACTCACCCCTGTTGTGTGCGGTATTCAAACTTACAATTCTAGCTGAATTTTGGAGGAATCTTTATTTCTATTATTATTACTGGGTATTTTATTTTTGGTGCCAGTTAGTTGAATCTGCTTGTTGCCTGAATTCCAGATAACTGGGATTCCTTTGTATTGAACAAGCTTGAGCATTTGCATCCTCTTAAACCATCAATACCTCCAGCAAAATGATACAGTACGGTACAGTACACCTTTCACCAGAACTACAGTCAAAAGAGTATCACACAACAGAAAACAATCCAAACTGTTATGATGGGGGGAGACATACTCTTTTATGTTAACAAAACCTTTAATTTTTGTATGAAGGATTAAACATCACAGTTTACTAACAAAAATAAATTTGAGGATAGATATCATCAGGCACAGGAGCAAGAGAGAGAGAGCAATGCTGGCATGACGACATGGGACACTGTAATGGATTCTGACTTCATGTCCCTGGTATCAATTGGCACCATGAAGCAGTATGGCCGCAGGCGCCTCATAGTCGACCACCAACTACGGCATGAAGCCATGGGCTGGGTGTGTCAGTAGGCACTGTATCAGCCATGGGTATCATTGAATGTGGCGGTGTCCAAGGTGGCTTACCATGAGTTGGGACTACCGCTCAGGAGTAGCCGCCTGAAACTGGCCAGGAGCCCAGACCACAGTTGCTTGCCCATTCTTCCGCTCACTCCTGGGGTTACAGCCGAGTGATCAGCTGCAGGTCAGCCAGACCATCTGTATGGCAGAGAACAGCCAGATGCGTCTGATGGGTGGGTCTTCATTAACATTACAGGACATGACAAGGATGGCCACGTTAGATCCACCAAGCATCTGTGCTACATTGCCAAGGACTGTCTAGGCTTATTCCTCAGTCGACCGTGGCCTGTTCATGTCTTGGTATCATTTCAGAGAACCTTTCAGCGATTGGAGAGTTTCCACAGAAGCCCAGGGGAAACAAGACTGTGGCAGCCAGCATAAAAACAACAGGCAGCACCAGTGAGGGCCAGATCACTGAGGAGGTTTGTGTGAGTGTCCAAGGAAAGCACAACCACCTCTAGCCTGAAAACCTCAACAAGCTCCAGCAATGGATACTGGATAGGTATGCCTCCAGTATGTTCAATGTATGTAAGCACCAACAACTGCCAATGATGCACAGAGGGCTACTGGAGATCTTCCTGAAGCCAGACACAAGGCCAATAGTGGCATACACACTGATAACAGTCCCGCTGCACTGGCAAGATGAGGTCAAACGAAGCCTGGATCGGCATGTAAGGATTCAAGTGATCGCAACCAAATGGTGCCACCGGATGGTAATCGTGGCATAAAAGGATGGGTCACTGTGAAGGATGGTTGATTTACAAGTTCTCAACCAGGAGTCAGTGAGCCAAACTCACCACACCCCCACCCTTCCATCAGGTGACCTCTGTGCCGACTAACACTAAGAAGACCGTTCTGGATGCTTGGAATGGCTATCACAGTGTGAGGCTACATAAGAACAGCCGAGACTACACCACGTTCATCACACTCTGTGGTCGTTACCAGTACATGACCACCCCATAGGACTACCTGGCAGCAGGAAACAGATACACCCATAAATTCGACCTCATCACACGTGACATGCCATACAAGGTAAGTGCATTGACAACTTTCTCCTATGGGTAGGCTCCATTGAGCAGTGTTTTTCCCAGACCTGCCACTACCTCACTCTCTGCAATACGACAGGCATTGTATTTAACCCAGAGAAATTTCAATTTGCACGATATATTGTAGAATTTGCTGGGTTCGAGGTCACAGCAGAGTCAGTCAGACAGTGCTGGCAACTACTGGAGAGCACCAAGAGTTTTCCTACACCCAAGGACATAACTGGAATATGCTCATGGTTTGGCCTAGTACAACAAGTGAGTTATGTCTTTATGCCTACACAGTGCGACCAGCAATGGAGTCATTTAGGGAACTTCTGAAACAAAGTGTAAAGTTTTATTAGAATGAACAGCTGAACAAGCTGTTTCAGGATTCCAGAAGCATGATTGTTCAGGCAGTGGAGAAAAGAAGGAGAATATTCCAGACGGGATGCCAGCCCTACCTGTTTGGCTACAGATTTCTCCGAAATGGATATTGGGTTCTGTCTGACAAAAAGCATTCCAGTTGCAAGTCGAACTCGCCGTACTGCTTCCAGCAGTTGAGCTATGCCCAGCAGAGAGTGGAGCACTGGCTGTGGTGGATGCCCTAGAGAAGGCTCGCTACTTTATACAGACAGGGCTGTGATGATTTGGTCATTGCCACTGACGACAAATCACTGGTCAAAATCCGAGGTGACTGGAGACTGGAGGACATCCCAAACCCAAGACTGTTAAAAAATCTTGAACTACAGGTTCAGGATTGTACACGTCCCTGGCAGGAAGCATGTGGGACCAGACGCTATGTCCAGAAAACCGGCAACGGGCATGATAGCCGGCCTCCACCGAATAGTCACCAAGGAGTAATAAGCCCGGTCCATGACACTGAAGCCGCACGTGGAACCATAGTAGCTGTGGCAGTGAATGTACTACAAACAGCATTGTTAGGCAGGCTCAGGGATGCAGCGACCATACAGGCCCTGGTGAACAGAATCATTGATGGATGGATTCCATGAGTCCAAGAATCTTTTGGAATTGGGGCTCAGAGTATTTTTCCTGTTCAGGACTGGATTGTCTACACATGATGGGCTGCCCCTCTACAAGAGCCAAGTTGTGGTACCAGGGACCCTTGGGGCTGAGGTGTTGGAAGTACAGCTCCTCCCCGACTTACAACCTGCCTCGGTCGTACTGAACTGTACTGTACTATTAAATTGATCACTGTGAACTATAGTAAAATAATGCTTTCATTTATTCTTTTATTTTTCAAGTGAGGAAATCCTAACAAGTCAACAAAGATGGCAGAGAAATTAACACTAGACTAACAAAAAAATCAGGTTATTAGTAATGTATGGAAGGCCAGATACTGTTCAACAACACCCAAATACCTGTACCTGGGTGATGTTAATAACTGTATGTATGTTCTTCTGCAACAGATCAGTATACAGTATATACAGTATTTGGCTTTATATATATGAATATTAAACTGACTCTTTCATCTGGTGTTAATTTATCTGCCACAGTTGTTCATGTATTATGGATCCCTCACTTATAAAAGAGAACATTTATATTACCATCAGACACCTTGCATAATTAACATTGGGATTTTCTTGGACATCATCCTAATCCTTGTGACCCTGTTGGAGACAGCAGTATCAGACAGCCTAATGACTGGCAAGGATACTCTTGGGTAAAGGTGAGGCAGTTGAAGCTTAGAGGAAAACAACACTTTTGTCCCCTTTCTCTTATCTCCAGCAAGACGTATGACTGTACAGGGTATACCGGTACCTAACTCCAGACTTTGTCAAATGCATAATTAAGAGGCATTTGTTTTAATAGGACCAGCTGTGATGAGCAACATTTTAGGATTAATAACTTCCTTACACTGCTTCCTAATGAGCAGATAGAGAACATCCTGTATAAGAGTTATGAACTGTAGTTAGTCCAAGGCAGCTTGTTAGACGGGTTATTTTTGCATGCAATACTTAGTAATAAATGGTAATCATCTCAAACTTCCAGTTTTTATATAAATATTGAATGCCTTAACATTACTGTATGTCACTTAACATAAAGAACTAATCTGATATTTTGTGATCAATTGTGTGAATCAGGTCTCTGTACACTTTTCTCTCACTCTAGCCTGTTTTATTTAAAGACTTGGTTGACATCATATTTTACTATTCTGACTATATCTAACTCTAAAATAACTTGGCCATGTTATGAATGAACTGTTGATAAGGACATCATACAGTACCTGTACAGATATAGTTCTTTTGGACTCTTATCTTCTTAATAATCATCTGCAGTACAGCACTGAGGGCAACACACATACAACCATAACCAACAAACAACTCTTAAAATTACTGTGTTCAGTATCAGTAATGTAACAAACAAATATTAAAACAATGTTTATTACAGACTATAATACAGGTAGTACAGACAGTAATAAAAATACACTAAAGTTTAAAAATCTTCACTCCATGAGTTTGGTGGTTAAGATGGTATTTCATAACAATGTGGGATATGGTGCAATAAATTAACAAAAACAAACATTACAGTCAAGTCCACTCAAAAATTTCTAATGATAAACCTTTCTTCGTATTGTGGGCCTCAAAAACTTTTCCCTGAAAGTGCCCCCAACACCCCTATTTCTCCTGGGCTTGACGAAGTCGCCCGAGTTGGTTGATTCAACTGCTTTTCTTAACTGGAAGGTAAGTGGCATGGGGAACTATACTATGGGAATAATTACAGTGGCAGGAGACTACATAGCATGCAATGAGTGAGGAGTGGCTGAGAAACATTACTGAAGGAGGCAAGGAGGAGGGAGATGTCCAGGGCATAAAGGAAGAGGTAAACAGAGAGTAATACATAAAAAGGGAAACTATATAAAGACAGAGTGAGCAGCAACTTGGGTGAGACAGGTACAGAGTGAGCAGCAACTTGGGTGAGACAGGTACAGAGTGAGCAGCAACTTGGGTGAGACAGGTACAGAGTGAGCAGCAACTTGGGTGAGACAGGCAGCAACTTGGGTGAGACAGAGACAGCAACTTGGGTGAGCAGCAACTTGGGTGAGACAGGTACAGAGTGAGCAGCAACTTGGGTGAGACAGGGACAGAGTGAGCAGCAACTTGGGTGAGACAGGTACAGAGTGAGCAGCAACTTGGGTGAGACAGGTACAGAGTGAGCAGCAACTTGGGTGAGACAGGTACAGAGTGAGCAGCAACTTGGGTGAGACAGGTACAGGTGAGAGCAACGGGTGGACAGGTACAGAGGGGGCAACTTGGGTGAGACAGTACAGAGTGAGCAGCAACTTGGGTGAGACAGGTACAGAGTGAGCAGCAACTTGGGTGAGACAGGTACAGAGTGAGCAGCAACTTGGGTGAGACAGGTACAGAGTGAGCAGCAACTTGGGTGAGACAGGTACAGAGTGAGCAGCAACTTGGGTGAGACAGGTACAGAGTGAGCAGCAACTTGGGTGAGCAGGTGGGGGTTGGGTGTCAGGGTGAGCAGCAACTTGGGTGAGACAGGTACAGTAATAGGAAACACAAAGCCCCATTGGTATTTACAATGAACTTCATCCAAAATATGTAAAGGATATACATACTTCTGAATATAACTGAAGGTTATTACTAATTCACTAATGGCTGAGAGATTCTGTATTTTTGAAATATTAATGGAAAAATGTGAAAGATAAAGCTCCTATTGTGAATATTTCTAGTTTAAAATATACTGCACAGTAGTTCATACACCAAGCTTCTCATTAATGAACTAATGATTATAAACTTAACTGTAGTAGAAAAACATTAATTAAGGTTTATAATATATTGATGCTGACAAGATGAGAGATAAACTGTATAACTGACCTCCTTCAGTGCCACAACACCAATGATCCTGCCAATGGCTGTGACATAGGCATGATTAAGACCCAGCATGGAGAACAATGAGTGGACCTGTTGGAATAAAATTGATCACTGTGAATGACAGAATAATAATGCTGTTACAGTAAACCTAAAAGATACACACTGTCTCACTACAGTGCAGTACAGGAATACCCCTGTTATTGCAAATGATAAATTCATAAAAGTCATTGAAAATACAGCCACTCCTCGACTTACAACGTGGTTAGGGACCCAAATCCAGGTCGTAAGTCGAATTGGTCATAAGTCAAAAATGCGAAAATGATACAAAGAAAATATAAATGGATGTCTCTTTTTCTTCTCAGCACCACAAAACTCTCACTTTTAAGCATGCCAGCCATTTTAAAGGGAATTACAAATGAAAATTTTGTCAGTACACAGCGCAATCACTAACGCTTAGATTCGAAAATACGTAATTTGAAAAATTTTTGGTATGACTGGGGCGGTTGTATGTCCGGGTGGTCGTAAGTCAAGTAGGTCGTAAGTCGAGGAGTGGCTGTAACGAATTTGCAAATATCGGAGTAATTTTACCCATAAGAATTAATGTATATAGGGGGGATGCGTTCCAATCCAGACAACTTTCACCATTTGTTTATACTGTACAGTCTGAATTTCCTAAATTGACACCATCATTTCGTGTAAAAAGCTTTCCCCACTTTATAGAATTTGGGTCCCGGTAAAAATTCAAATTACATGCTCACAGGACCCAGTAAGGGCGACCACAACCACCTAGTGCTCTCCCTACCAGGTTGAGGTAGGAGTTATGTTATGTTATTTTGTTAAAGTCGGAATGCGGCTCAGCTAATGAGCTAATGCAGGGTATGCTAATTCCAGCTAACTCCCCGCCAGCCCAACATACAGGCAATTGAAACATCTAATAATTACTTAATAAGTAATACTGTATTAGGACACCTGGCATTTAATTGCAATTGTCGAAACCCCCTCCCTCACCCCCCATCGCATGCACTGCCACCATCATCTCTTGCCTGGCGATTCAGCTGTAAATACACACGAAGGAGAGCTCCGCAAATTTGTGTTGTAATTGCTGAAATACTAAGCTCCGTGAGGATTTTATATACGGTATTTGTACTTATTAGCACAGTGATGAAGTAGAGTGACTGTTATTTTGTTATGTCTCTCAATTATTGTATTTGGGACAATTTCTTATACAATCTCTGGTCAGCATCATGGTGACCACAACACGTCTTCTTTGTAAAGTCGTTTAGATCGTTGTGACTATCTCTTGCCTTTAAGTCACTTAGTGAATGTCGCTGCTCCCTCCCGGGCTCGTCTTCACTGAAAGAGAATACTGTATGTGAATATATCTATTTATATATACATATATATGTGTACTGTTTACGGTTTTCTTTGTCCCAATTATTCACGTGCTAGTATGAATGCCATGACAGTCTCTCTTCCTACTCTTACGTTCGTTCACAAAAAACCTTTGGGCTTCCGCCCTCGGTTTTCTAATTGCTCTCAGCATAAAGGCCAGAGTTGAGTTTTTCTCTTCATAACTTTATTTTATTGATGTCCTCAGTAGCGGGTTCAGCCTTTCCAGGCGTACTTTAGCGAGGCTGCTAGACTTGGCGTTCCTTCCGGAATGTTGACCTTCCGGTCTTCCTAGCAATCTAGAGTTATGTTGAAATGGACTTTACATCCTTATATGGGTTATATGAGTACAATTCTGGGTGGAATTCTCAACCCACTAAGTATTGCTAGAGTAATAGTGAACGCTGTTGCCAATAGAGCGCTATGTTAGCGACTCAGCACTGTCAACCCTGCCGGGTGATAGTGCGCACGTAGGAATTTTCGCTTAAGTTATTACTTGGGGGATAATGTCTGTGCCCCTGATTGGCAACAAATAGAGATCTTGATGATCCATTAAATAAAATGTTCTAATGAAATTATTTTATGTTAAAAAAAAAAATTTAATTGAGGTAAGGGATACTTGAGATAAGAGTCGGGAGAGAGATTCGACATAGTGAGTTAATTGTTTATAATTGTCAAATGAGTGACTTATATAACAATAAGAGATTTTAATGAATTAACTTACTAATAATATAACAATTATGAGTCATATTGATTAAGTTTGGGAGAAAATGTTTTTTCCCTTATATTTTTATAATGATATAATGTGACTCATGGTGTCCTCCTAGTTCAGATGAGTGATGTGCAACTGGAGGATGAAGGTCAGGAGTCCGGGCCTATGGATGATGGAGGAGACTATGGAACTGTCCCTGAGGAGATAGTATTGAGTGATGAGCTACAAGGACTAGAAAGTTCAGCTCAGGCACTACATTCAAGGAATTGTCTGTCAGTAGAGAATCTGAATTCAGTAGCAGTAGTTTCACCCAAGACCCAAGGGGACCATACTACATGTAATTATCAAGGATGTAGAGCCACTTGGATTACTAAGATAGATCCTCATGTGGCTTGCATAATTCATGGCAGCTGTGTCTCAAATAACCTATTTTCACCAATGGATTGTGCAGTTTGTTATGATCAAATTTTTCAATTTCATCAAGCTACAGGTGATAAGAAAGATTTATTGCAAATACAAATTAAAAATAGGTGGAATAAGGCCTTGAAGAGTAAATTTTTGTATGTACAACAATGGAAAGATCCCAAGTTGGCAGAAAGTTTAGGTTTATTGGTGTTAGGTAAAAGACTTAATCCCCACTTAGACAAGCCTGCTTCTCCTAAGAAAAATAAGTTATTAGACCCTCCAGACAGTGGGAAGTCTACAAAAACCTCTATCTACTCAGTCTGATTTCAGTGGATTCCAGGATCAGGACAATGAAGCTGGTTCTAATCATAGTATTCAGTCTCTTGAGCAGGAAGAAACTGTTGAGACTGACTTCATCCTATCCACATCTTGGTAACCGCTTCCACCTGGGGCAAAAGTGTTGGTTGCTATGAGTGGAAACAGGCTGCTGTCGACTGCCACGCAGCTGCTGGATAACATTGAGTGTAAGGATGATCCCAACAGGTCTTGGGTAACATTGGTAAGGTCTAAGTCGTCTTTGTTTTCTACTACATCTGAATCTTTGGATTTCTTATTCAAAATATTTTATGAAAATGTCTCTAAGCTTCCTGATATCTCAGCAATTACAAGAGACAGGAAGGACAAGCAACTTTGGGTCATCATTCTTTGTTTTTGGAAGGTGATACTACACTTTCTTGGCCTGATATTTGCCCAAAGATGATCTCTGGAATAGACGAAGTCTGGGCTAATTTATTGAAAGACTTAACATTCATTCCCGCAGACAGGAATGCTCACAAGTTTAGTTTTTGAAGTTTCAATTTAATGACAAAAAGAGTTCCTTCTATGAACTTTCCCAGTATTTGTCGGCTCCAAAATATGTTGATATAAGTTATGAAAAAAATTTGAAACCAGTTGCTCCTGCACTACTGCTTGAAGAATTTAAAATTAGGAAATTGGCAGCAGATGTTTGGTCTGCAATTATGATGTGTCAGTTATTAACTAAGTTTGTGCTGGACTATGAAGAAAATTCAGAAGTGGACAAATGTTTCGCTACCGCTCTACAAGGAATCCCATATTCCCTGTACAACTCATTTTTAGATAATTTGTTGAAAGCCCTAAACCTGAAAGTCCAGCTAAGGAAACAAGCAACAAAGAATGCTTCAAGTGGTAGTGCTTCTTTGTTGCTATGTTCTTCTCCTCTTTCTCCTGCTTTGTTTGATGGTTAAATATAGATCATCTTTTGAGAATACAGTACTATTAATATTAATGTTCCCAGGAGTCCTCAGACCTTTCGGAAACCTAGGAGAGAAAGGTTTTACAGGGGAACAGGACCAGCTACTTGGTTCAGTTATCAACCTAGAGGAAATTTTAGAGGAGGAAATAATCAAAGAAGTAATAGAGGTGGCCGTTTGTTCAGAAACGGAAGGAGACCTTATTCCACCACCTCAGCAACTTCCCCCTTCCAATGAAGCCAGACAGCTGGGTCGTCTAGGGGGTTGGGAGAACAGGTGGACTTCTTCCATATGGGCTTACAAGACAATCAAAGGGGGTCTCACATGGACTTGGTTGAGGCGCCCTCCCCTAGTGTTACCAAAAAGGGTCAAAAACCAACCCCATTACTTACAGGATTTGTAATTTAACTACTAAACAGAGGTGTCATAGAACTGTTACAGTTAGAGAAATGTTTCATGTCTCGCCTATTCCCAGTCCCCAAGAAAGGCAGCGACAAATTCAGGTGGATTTTGGATCTTTCAGTCCTAAACAAATTTATTACCAAAAGAAGTTTCAAGATGCTCACTTACGACTATCTGAGGCATCTACTTCCGCCCAATGCTTGGATCTCAAAAGTGGATCTCGAAGATGCCTATTATCACGTTCCTGTTGCTCCCAGGTACAGAAAATTTCTGGTGTTCAAAGTGGGGGATGTAAGTTATCAATTCACAGTGATGCCATTTGGCCTGACAATTGCGCCAAAAGTTTTTGCAAAACTGGCGAACATCCCCAGAAAGATCATTGCGAAGGAGGGCATAAGAACCTTTGTTTATCTAGACAATTGGCTGATAATGGGAAACTCTTTCGAAGATTGTCAAAGGGCGACCCAACGTACGCTAGTACTATTTCAAAACCTTGGTTTAAGATAAACCAGGTAAAATCAAATTTAATACCATGTCAAAAGTTGAATTGGTTAAATCTCTAGTGGGATACAAATCAGCAGTCAGTCAGTTTACCAAAAACAAAAGTAACAGGTTTGATAAACCAAGTAGAAGCCTTTTGTGTAAAGCTCAAGGTTTCTTGGCACAATTGGGAAAAACTTCTGGGTCTGTTGAATTTTGCCACAATAGTGGTTCCATTGGGAAAGTTAAGGAAAAAGCAACTATCTCATCTGGGCTCGAAGTTGCTTCACAGAAACAGAAATGTTGCTTCTTCTCTCCCTATTCAGATAAGAATCATCTGTTATGGTGGACAAAGTTGGACAATCTAATCGGTCCCTCTCCCTGGGTTCCGCCTCAAACAGGTTTGGTCGTTTATACGGATGCGTCCGAAATAGGATGGGGATACCATTCCTCAAAAGAGGAATTCAATCAAGGGAAGTGGAGCAACTTCCTTTGGGACACACATAAATATAAAAGAATTAGCAGTGGTCCTATTCTTTTTGTCGGCAAACCCAAATTTACAAAATATGACGATCCTGTTTGCCATGGACAACAAAACGGCAGTCTTTTGTTTCAATCATCAAGGGTCAACAAGGTCTTGGCCCCTTCTACAAATGTCAGAAAAAATTTTCAGTATTTGTATAACACAAACACTTTACCTTAAAGCAACTTATATACCGGGAGTGCAAAACAAATGGGCAGATGCGCTGTCCCGTCTCCGGCCAGTATCGACAGAAACAGAATGGTCCCTAAAGGTATCGGACTTCAAGAGTCTAGTGAAGAAGTTTGGAACTCCACAGATAGATCTGTTTGCCTCCCTAAAAAATCACAAGATGCCACTTTATGCATCTCTGGAAGGGTCGAATCTTTTAGGAAATGCCATACTCTTAGAATGTAACCTTTGAAATTTAATCTATCTGTTCCCACCTGTGAAAATATTGCCCAAAGTGGTTCACAAACTCAGATCCTTCCGAGGCAAGGTCCTCTTAATTGCACCATATTGGATCCTACAACCTTGGTGCCTGGATCTGCTGGACTGGTGCCCGAATCCACTACAATTGCAACAAGGATGTCTAGACCAGGTACCACATTCTCAGTTTGAGATATCCTTGGCACTTCACGCTTGGAGTTTCTCAAAAAAAAAAGAAAATAATAAAAGAAAAAAAATAAATTAAAAAAAAAAGTATAAATAGGTTGTTGGGTAATTCCAATATAGCTAATCAAGTATTAGCAGGTCATAGACCCCAAACTTCTATTCAATATGAGAAAGCTTGGAATCTTTTTCAACAATTTATTAAGTTAGCAACTCCAGAATCATTATCGGAAACAGTTGTGTTAGGATTTTTAGAATTTCTGTTCAGAGTTAAAGGCCTTCAAGGATCGACCATTGCATCTTATAAATCAGCGTTGGTTGACCCTCTGGCTTGGGGTTTTAATATTACCTTGAACCCAAGGATTTATCAAATGCTAAGATCGTCCTTTTTCATTCAGAGACCTCCTCCCCCCAAGAGAATCCCGCCTTTGTCTCTGGAAAAAGTTACTAAACTTCTTATGGGGCCTAATTACAATATAAATCTGAACAGGGATAAATTACTCCAGAAGGCAGCTTTCCTTCTAGCAATAGCAACGGGTATGAGAATCAGTGAACTGATTTCAATTTCCAATAATCCATCATTACCTATTGGTATTTTCCGATGAGGATGTTACCCTTTTTCCTACGGAGATCCTAAGAAAAAATGAAAGGGAAGATTTCCAAGCTCAACCTATTAGGATAAAACGTCTAATGGATGAAACAAGGGTTCCTCATATAATGTGCCCAGTTAAAAATCTTCAGGAATGGTTGACCAGATTCCCTAATCGAGGCCCCTATGTTTTCTCATCACGGGATGGTAAGAAATTATCTGCTAGTCAAATGACATAATCCTTATCTCAATTAGTGAATCAAGCAGACCCTGGCAAGAAATTTTTGGCACATGACACTAGAAAATATGCAGGGTCTGTGGCCTTTCTGTGGCATATGAGTCTCAGTCAGATCAAGGAAATGGGCTTTTGGAGATCTTCAAAACTTTCAAAGACAGCTATCTTCATCTATCTCTGAGAGATGCTTCAAATGTGGTGGTGCTGGGTTCCCCTCCCCAACCTAGTCAATCTCCACAACCAGGACCTTCTTCATCATCAGAATAAAGTGAGTATCCTTTTTGAGTAAATTAACATTTTACCTTCCGGTAAATGTTCCTAATTTTGGAAATATTATAAACGGTTTATACATAATCTGGAACCTAAGTCAGCGGAGCCTTGTATGCAAAGTCACCTCCCTCTCCACCTCCTGCTCGTGTATTCATGCTGAAACGTCGCATTCCGACTTGAACAAAAAGCCGTTTTTTTCTAAAAAACAGTTTTTGTGATATAGCTCGGAATGCGACACAGATAACCCACCCATTTCCACCCCTCGAGAGTTGACTTTTGTTTACTGCTTGCTCTGAGGCAAGAGATGAAGGTCGTGATGCATATGGTGGGGTGTGAAGGAGGGGGTTTTGAGAGCTGCAATTAATTGCCAGGTAGCGACGTGTCCTCCTAATATTACTTATTAAGTACAGTAATTATTAGATGTTTTAATTGCCTGTATGTTGGCCTGGCGAGTTGGCTAGGAATTAACATAGCTAGGTAACATGCTGAAGCGTCGCATTCCGAGCTATATCACAAAAACTGGTTTTTAGAAAAAATAACGTTTTTTTTTTTTTTAGAAAAAAATCGGCTTTTTTATATACAGGTACACTGCGTAACTGCTCCAAAAAGCTAGAATACCATAAAATACAACAAAAGAACACTGTGTGTGACTGAGTGTGTGTGTGTGTGTGTGTGTGTGTGTGTGTGTGTGTGTGTGTGTGTAAGACGTTTGTAAATGAGCATTTACCATTGCCACATGAAGAACTCTAATATGCTTGGTGCATTTTTTTCATGTCGCAATATGGAAGTACAATGATATCACAGTTAGCCAAAACAATTGGTGCAGAGTGCTTCCGGGAATGAGAGATTTCCGGGTAACGAGACGACTCATTCGAACCCGGAAAAATATTTCTCATACCTGGAATTTTCCGGGTAACGGAAAACTGTTCTTGGAAGCTTCAGAAAGTGCCCATTACATCATCTCTCAAACCCAGAAAAATATCCCCAATCCCCGGAATTTTCCGGGGATTGGGAAAATTTTCTCAGAATTTTCCAGAAAATGTGCTCTGAGGAAAATTGTTTCCATAGTTGGAATTTTCCGTTAAATTCCAACTTTATGAACTATTTTCCGAGAAAATTTCAGTTCCGGCTATCGGAGAGTTCCGGGTCGAGGGATCCGGCTAATGGAGATATTATTGTACAGGTACAAGTGAGTGTCTCTCATGAGTGAATTTTCATGCACTTGCTCCGTGTGAACGGTCTCAGTGAACTTCATTAATTTTTAAACTGCATGGGTCCTCATGCACAGAAAAAACATGTTTGTGTGAACCGCGCTTTACAATGGAATACAGTAGGTATGTGTTTAGAGCACAGTTAGAGCTAGGTCAGAAAGATCACTGTAAGGACCAACTAATCCCCCACAGCTCCATGGGAGTGAAAAATAACTTTCTTTGCTGTAACACACAGCTTCATTCATGCCTAAATCCTATAGATTTTAAATTTTTAAATACCCTGTACAGTATATTTATTTTACCAAACTTTTAGATAAACTATTCTGGATTATTATAATAAAGAAATGGCATTTCTAACTTAATTAGAACTGCATTTATGGACTCTGGTTGTTTAGACTCAAGGAAAACATCCCCAGCACCCAGAAACATTCTGGGGAAGTGGGCTAGTGTCTGTGTGTGCAAGATGTCTAGTGTAGACACTCGGAACTTTTCCCAATAACCGGAAAAGATTCCGGGGATAAGGAATTTTTCCGAGTTTGAGAAAATCGCCTGGTTAGCCAGAAATCTCTCATCCCCGGAAGTTCTCTGCTCCAATTGTTCCGGCTAACAGGGAGATCACTGTATTACTGTAGGGTACCATAATTTTTATTTGCAAATAAGTGGGGTATGCTTTGTAAATATCAAATATGGTGTTAGAATGTCAATTATGGATAAGCAGGGTAGTGAATAATGAGGTATTCCTGTACTGCTGCTGTATGAGTGAGTAGATTGATGAAATTTGCCAGTGATCAGGAATTGAGTGTAATGTTAAGATAAGTTAGAAAATGTTTCTCTTCTGTCTCTCTTTAACTCACCTTCAGAAGAGATGTTCTCTCAACAAGTTGGAAAGGTGCAGGATCAATATGGCACTTGCTGAAGTCCACCTCCTTGTTGAGCTCTTCCTCCTCCCACCGGCGCTGCTCCTCTAAGGTCATCTCCACCATTCGCTCCATTGGCTGATGAAGGAATGCAATATTAAATTGGCCTTCTCTAAGAGACACCGAAAATACAAAACTAAAGTACTGTAGACTCTTGGCATTCACAGGTTTGCGAATTGCGATTTTGATGATTCGCAGAAAGCAGATGATGGCTATGATGGCTAGCTTACAATCCTTTTCCTGCAGCACAACGAGTTACCCCACTCAGCATCTCATGTTGTACTCTCAAAACTTTAGTGTTTCTGTGTGAAATGGCCCCTAAAAAACTGCCTTGTGTCAGTGCAAGTGATGCTTGTGGAGTGGAGTAAATCGTAAAAGGAAGAAGTGAGTGATGACCCTGACAAATGAAGTTTTATTAGTAGATAAGTTAAAAGAGGGGATGAGTGCTACCGTGGCTGGTCAGTTGTTTGGTACAGTAGTGCACTGAGGTAGTATAAATTGCTATTCGCAGTTTCGCCAATTCGCGCCATTTCTTGGAACTTATACATCTCAAATGGCAAGGGTGGACTGTATTGCACTATAGTACTGTATTAACATTATTACCAGTAAATAAAACAATTGAGGACCACTAATTCTCCCATGAGATAGCCTGTCTGAAGTTAATCTTTATGGAACATTTAGGAATCAATTGTGATTTAGTTTACTCTATCCTCTTCACCACTGATCAGCCAGTTAGTAGCTTGGACAATCAGTCACGCCTCAATGTTATGAAGTGTTAGCATAAACTGACTCCAGAATGTACCTGAACTTGCACCAGTGTTGGTAAAGTCTGGATTTAAATGAGTTCAAACTTGGTGCCACCATAACACTCTCTGGAGGTTATTCCGAGAGTTCACAACTCTTACTTCAAAAAAGTTAGCTCCGACAATTTTCTGTACTTGTAGCTTCTTTAACCTGCAGCTGTTACCTTTAGATATGAACACTTGACTGAGTAAAAGTGTGACATAATGATATACCTCCTTATACTGTATTGGTATAACCTAGGTACATCCTCTTGCATTTTATATCATTGAATCTTAACAGCTACTCCACTGACCGCTCCTACACACTTTATTTTAGAGATATGAACTGTCATGTCTACACTCTTCATTTTAGAGAAAAGACCTGATATTTTAATGGTCACATCTAGTATATTAATACCCACACTTATTGGTATTATGCTCCGTTGTCCATAAAACATGTGTAAAACTAGTGAGTTACCCCATAGAGACTTGATTTCTCTATTGAGAGGTACTGTCCATTTTCTCTCTTGCCTGAAATGCTCTCCTGTAAATTTAAATTTATGATGTAACAAGTACGAGTAGCAGTAAGTGGTATAAGCCTACTGTTAGCTGAAGCATTCAAGACTCAGTACATACAGTATATGTGGAGTCATCTATTGTATATTTAAAGTGTAATAAAAACTTTCCTAAGACATGTGTTTGAATGTCTCTCAAAGCCTATGACCCCTGTTTTAGCCTCTCATGAAATTATGAGATATAAATTAAAAACAGCAGTTGTATTCTTTTGATTTACAGCCATCAGAGAATCTGATGGCTGTCTTGAATTAATTACCTGGAGCTGGCAGATGTCTGCCCCACAAGGGGTCACAGCTCAAGGTTGACCAAGCCACAAGTCCAGAAAGCTGTGAGGGCAAATTTTTCAGAGTGAGACTTGTGAACTCTTGGAACAATCTGCCAGAGAGTGTTGTGATGGCACCAAGTATGAGCTCATTCAAGGCCAGACTTGACCAACACTGTAGCAGGTTCCAATATATTCAGGAGCCAGTGCATGCCCAGTATCTGCCAACAGTGCGCATCAGAGACGTGACTGACCGCCCAAGCAGCTAACGAGCCGATGAGTGGCAAAGAGGATAAAAGAAAAAGAAAAGAATTGTCATTTTCATATTAAAGTGTAAAGAAAACTGTCAGTAATCGCCAGTCCGTGACGTCTAACCAAAACTGTACGAGTCGTTGTTCCCTTGTTGCCCAAATGCTGACTCCGCTCACAAGTGCATGCCAGGTCAGGTACTTGTAACCAATATAATTGATGCATTACAAGCTGAAACACTGATTTGATTATAAATGTTAACCTTAAGAAATTAATATAAAGCCATTGCAATAATTTTCATATAATGATATGTACAATGCAGGGGTCCCCGGGTTACCAATAGGTTCCATTCCTGAGGATGTTCTTAAGTCGAACTGTATGTAAGTCGAAGCACATGCTATGTGCATACAGTATTTATAGAACAATGTTTAAAATCCCACTATATCATAGCCAAAGTCCTTATATACATCTAAAATCACCTAATTTAAGAAAAGAGAAGAAATAGAATGACAAATTACAGTAAATGAAAGTAAAAAAATAAGTCATGGGGTAATTAAAATACCGTAAATTTAAAGTTTAACCTCGTTCGTATCGGCGGGCGTTTGTAAGTCGGACGTCCGAAACCGATAAAATGTCCGTGAAAAGCCCGACCTGTGCCGTCACTACCATGACTATCTCGTGCACGAAAGGGTGAGACAGCACTCAAGCACTTGCTCCTCCCCATGTAGGAGGTGGCTGATCTGACCTAGAATAGGTGCTATATATGCTAGGATGATGTCCAGTACCAGAATGGAAATGTGTGAATGCTGTTAAGACGTGTGTCATGTGACGAGGTGGTGAGCTGGATTCATCCAGTACAGCTAGGCCACTCAGAGAAAGTGTCCAGTGTATATGTGAGGTTGACTCATTGTGAGAGCTAAAGTGTGGAGTGGACACATCAAAATCATAGCATCTTATTATGAGTCAGCAATGATCAATAGGGTTCATTATCAGGTATAAAATTAATTTGATTGCAATAACTGTAACTTATTCAGTTGTATGTTGGCCTTAGCACATGTGAGGGTCACCACTTTATTTGTTAGTGAGTGGAGCTAAGTAATACTGGGATGCTATTGGTTCCAGTGCTATTGGATGTGTACTATGTTGGTGTTATCAATATTTATAATGTTAATTAAGAGATAATCACTCTGGTGTCCTGTTGGTTAAATGTTGAAAGGTCCTGATGACTGTAAAGTAACATGGGGTTTACCAGGTGATCCCAAAGATCCAAACAATGAGCTGAAGTTCTCGGGCCACTGCGAGAAGAAGATAAATCAGGCAAATAAATTATTGGGTCTTATAAGAAGGTCGTTCAGATATCTAGACGGTCCGTCCCTCGTAACGATCTTCAGGAGTGAAGTGCTTCCCCATCTGGAGTACTGTCACCCCATCTGGTCCCCGAGATATGTTAGGGACTGTCAGTTGGTTGAAAATGTTCAAAGGAGGGCCACCAGACTGGTGCCTGCACTTCAGCACCTCAGCTACCCTGAGAGATTGGAGCGCCTGAACTTGCCTAGCTTATACTACAGACGGGCAAGGGGTGACCTAGTTGAGGTGTATAAGCATCTCAGGGGGCACTACTCAGTCGAGTGTCCTTACTTGGAGCTGGCGGACGCTCGCCCCACAAGGGGTCACAGCTCAAGATTGAAGAAGCCGCAAACTTTTTTTTTTTTGGAGTGAGGTGTAAACTCTTGAACTTAATCTACCAGAGAGTGTTGTTGTGGCGGTATCAGTGTGACTCTTTCCAAGACAAAGACTTGACCAACACTGGGCCGGAGTTCAGTACATTCAGGCGAGTGCACATGCCCAATGTTGCTCAATAGTGCGTGACAGAAACGTGACCGATCGCTGAATTGGCTAGTAGGCGATCTTTTGGTAGAAGAAAAAAATGAAAAGAAAAGTAATCCAGAGCGTGACCGATGCGTAGCTAACAACCCCGATCAGTAGCGAAGAAGGATAAATGTAAGTATGTATATATATATATATATATATATATATATATATATATATATATATATATATATATATATATATATATATATATATATATATGTATGTAACAATATGTGTGTGTATGTGTGTGTGTGTGTGTGTGTGTGTGTGTGAGCCTGGAGTGAGCCATGCCGAAAGCAAAAATAAACTTAAAACTAATGTAATACAGTACTTAGAAATTGAAAGAAATAAGAGCTTAAAGATATTTAAATAGAAAACAAAACTTAGAAACAATTTGAAATGTAAAGAAATAATACTGAAATATATATAAAATAAAATAAATATATTTACTTTCCCCCCCGTTACATAGATGGCACTTTATTTTAAGAAACACGACCTGACACATACATGGTTAGGTAATCTGAGCCTTATTCTTACCTCAACATTAACTAAAACTACCAAAAAAAATTAACTAATGAAGAATTTTCAGTTTAATGTGAAACTAAAATCACTATCAAAAACTTTATTCAAACAAATATGTAGGAAAATATGAGGCACAACAAATTCTCTGTAAAAACAACATACTGCAGTATCACATAAAATTATAAATTCAGCAACAGCAAATCTAATACAGTATATGGAAGATGTCATGTTTTTCATAAGGTTTGTCAAAAGAAAAGCAATAATTTCAACTACAGTACCACATGTAACACCATTATGAGGTCTCAACTTCTGTGTTTCATACAAATAATAAAGAATCCATAAAAAAAAACAAGTTCCATATTACAGCTCTGTCCTGGGTTCAATGCCTGGCCCAGGATATATATGAGAAAGGTGTTATCCAGTGTGACCCGACCAAATATTAGAGGTTTTCTCCAGGTATTTCTGTTTCCTCTTGTACTTAAACTGTAGTATCAAAGAAAATATTAATTACCCAAACAGCTAGTAACTTGGGAAGTGATGAAATGATAAATTAATAAAATAAATAAGAGATATAATGGCCTTGGAGATAAAATATAAAAACACAAGACTAAAGAATTCTATCAAAATAGGTTTACATTACAAAGAAACGTAAGACTCACCATGGACACCTTTTTGGGATTACCAAAATTCACATTCTGACTGCTATGGCTGCTTCTTTCATCCATTTTCCTTAAGCTTGTTTTTCTTAACACAGCTTCAAATGCTTGTCGTAGTCTGTAGTGATCAAAGGAAGGAAATTTACTTCACAAACTGAGTTTTGATTTGTGTCTATCAAATACTATTACACTAAACCAATATTACCATGACAGTCTTATTCATGATCTCCCCAGATGTTCCTTCCCTCACAAGACAAGTTCCTCTTTGCTTCATCCGAATAGTTCCTCTCTCTTATATAAATATTCCCTCACCAAGTAAACAAAGTAACCTGTTACTGATTCATTTAAATGGCCCTTGATTTTATACCTGGTAACTCCCTTACATGTTATCTTAGCTCTACTGGAATAAACCCTCCCTGTTTCATATAAGAGCCTTATATCCCTCCTTATCTCATATAAGGTCCCTATATCCTTCTTTAGTTTATATAAGAGCCTTATATCCCTCCTTATCTCATATAAGGTCTCTATCGCTTCTTTAGTTTCATATAAGAGCCTTATATCCCTCCTTATCTCATATAAGGTCCCTATATCCTTCTTTAGTTTATATAAGAGCCTTATATCCCTCCTTATCTCATATAAGGTCTCTATATCCCTCCCTCCCTAAGGCAGTTAGTCTTTATCTTTCTCCTAACAAGCTTCCTGCAATACCCAACAACATTGTTCCTCTCTTCTTATCAACAAACATCTTGCCTGACTTACTTGGAGTCTCCAGCATGGACAGTAGCGTAAGGTGTGTGCTGGGGGGATGCAAAGGGAGAGGATGTGGCTGGATGAAGAATAAAACTATTGGTCTTCTTCAAAATAGATTTTCGTGGCAGGGTGCTTCTTAGACTTATCTGTTCTTTGTCCAGTGCAGATTCTGATGCTGCTGGGATCTGTCAAAATAAATTCCCTTACAAAACAGTTCAATGTCTATAACAAAGGATTGCATTTTTTTTTTACCTTTGTAAGCCTTTTCCTACATGGTATATGGTGCTGGGTGATTGGAAACAAGATGAACACAGTCTCACCCATCATATACTTTTATAAAGTCTCACTTAATGCTGTAATGGACATGATCTTCTATGGTGTTCCCCTTCTATAAAATGGTTCTAAAATACCAAGGAATTTGTAGAATTTGAATATAATCCCTATATTCAGAAAACTGTTATTTCAGTAGTAAATTCTGTTGGTATTTTGTATACACATTACTGTATCAGTTGTAAAATGTATACCCAGTATGGCTAGTTTGTAAACCCTAATCTTGACATTCAGTTCTCCACAAAGGTAACTCCCAGGAGATACAAGTTGATTTAATCCAAATGTAAAAAGACAGGTGACATCAATACCCTGATGCTCAGTACTCAACCATGACCTACCCTGATGCTCAGTACTCAACCATGACCTATCCTGATGCTCAGTACTCAACCATGACCTACCCTGATGCTCAGTACTCAACCATGACCTACCCTGATGCTCAGTACTCAACCATGACCTACCATGATGCTCAGTACTCCACCATGACCTACCCTGATGCTCAGTACTCCACCATGACATTCCCCGATGATCAGTACTCAACCATGACCTACCCTGATGCTCAGTACTCACCATGACCACCCTGATGCTCAGTACTCAACCACGACATCTCCCCCCGATGCTCAGTACTCAACCATGACCTACCCTGATGCTCAGTACTCAACCATGACATTCCTCGATGCTCAGTACTCAACCACGACATTCCCCGATGCTCAGCACTCAACCATGACCTACCCTGATGCTCAGTACTCCACCATGACATTCCCCGATGCTCAGTACTCAACCATGACCTACCTTGATGCTCAGTACTCCACCATGACATTCCCTGATGCTCAGTACTAAACCATGACCTACCTTGATGCTCAGTATTCCGCCATGACCTTCCCCAATGCACAGTACTCCACCATGACCTTCCCCAATGCACAGTACTCCACCATGACCTTCCCCAATGCACAGTACTCCACAATGACCTACCTCTATGCTCAGTACTCCAATATATTCACATGCACAGGGAAGAAGTTCGAGGGTTTGACCACCTGTGTGTTTTGGCCAGGTTGAAAATTTAAGTTTGTGACCAGAGCCAGCTGCTGACACAATTACTGGTATATTAATTTTGAAAAGTTTAAGGTGAAAAATTATACATAAAATAAGCTCTATTGTTGTTGAATATATTTATTTCATCATTGTAAACTTCTAAACTAGGAGGAGCACTATGAGTCACAGTGTATCATCATAATAATTCAAGGGAGATAAAATTTTCTCCCAAACCTTAATCAACATGACTCGTAACTTATATTTTAGTAAGTTATTTCATTAAGATCTCTTACTGTTATAAAAGTCACCAGTTTGACAATCATAAACAACTAACTCACTATATCATACACCTCTCCCTTCTCTTATCTCAATTATCCCTCAGCTCAATGAACTTTATTTCTTAATCAAACTAACTACATTTAGAGCATTTTATTTTGAGGGATCATCAAGTTCTCTATTTGTTGCCAATCAGGGTGCACAGAAATCATCGCCTCAATTAATTAGCTTGAGCGAAAATGCCTGAGTGAGCGTCGTCACCTGGCAGGGTTGACAGTGCTGAGCTGCTACCATTGCGCTCCATTGGCAACATCTTTCACTATTACTCTAGCAATATGTATTGGGTTGAGAATTCCACCCTGAATGGTTCTCAAATAACCCATATATGGATACAAGGTCCATCCCAACATAACTCTAGATTGCTAGTAAGACCGGGAGGTCAGTGTCCGGAAGTAACACTAAGGCTAGCAGCCTCGCTAAAGTTCGCCTGGAAAGGATGAACCCGCTACTGAGGACATCAATAAAATAGAGTTATGAAGAGAAAACTTAACTCTGGCCTTCATGCTGAGAGTAATTAGAAAACCCAGGGCAAACGCCCGAAAGTTTTGAGAACGAACATAAGAGCAGGGAGAGAGATAGCCACATAAATCATGGTATTCATACTAGCCCGTGTATAATTGGGATAAAGAAAATTGTATACAGTATATATATACATATATATTGTATCTAATATACTATATGAATAGCAGTGTGTCTGTGTGTCTGTCTGTGTGTGTCTGTTCTGGCCAGCCGAAACGGCACAATCGTTTTTCATCAAACTTGGTGGAAAAATCGCAAAAAAATTCGTAGAGTGGAACAAACCTGGTCCCATGTCGATAGTTTCTTTAGGAAGTCATTAATTAAACATTTTATTTACGCTGGAAAATGATGCAAGTCTACGGACTTGGTGCACCCTCATTCACTATACGCTGTCAGCCGGACGGCGGTTGCGCGCTAGCCAAGCATGAGCGTTCAAACTTTCACCCGGCACAAAGGGCCCGCGATCACTTGTATATATCTACATATATTCTTTCAGTGAATACGAGAGTGGGAGGGCGAAAAACAATGTCATTCACTAAGTGACTTGAAAGCTGAGGATATTAGTCACTAACGATCTAGCGACTTCATAATAGAAGACCCGCTGTGGTCGCCATGCTAACCAGATTGTATAAGAAATTGTCCCAAACACAATATCTGAGAGACATAAACAAAATAAAAGTCACTCGATTTCCTCACTGTGCTAAGATGTATAAATACAGTATACAAAATCCTCGTGGCACTTAGTATTTCAGCTATTACAACACAAATTAGCGGAGCCTTCTTTGTGTGTATTTACAGCTGATTTGCCAGGGAAGAAGATGACGGTGGCAGTGCGTGTGATGGAGGGTGCGGGAGGGTGTTTTGAGAATTGCAATTAAATGCCAGGTAGCGACGTATCCTAATATTACGTATTAAGTAATTATTAGATGTTTTAATTGCCTGTATGTTGGCCTGGCGAGTTATTGCTAGGCATTAACATACCTAGGTATAAGCTAGGCGTCGCATTCTGGATTGAACAAAAAGGAGGAAATTCACCGGCAGTGCAAGTAGTACACAGCCTCTGAAAATTCTATAGGTTTGAAGAAGGGGAAGACAAGCTTCTCCCAGAAATGAGCATACACCTTGCCCAAAAATTATGTAAAAGCAATGCTCAAGTGCATAAAAGACAACAATGCTCATCTTGTTTTCGCAACTCTTTTTAAGTTGCTGAAGAATTATGCAGTGTTTCCTGTGTCAACGGCAAGAGTAGAATGCTCCTTTTCTAAGCTGGTCAAATCCAAGCCTCAGAGCTGTCTGAACCTCTGTTGGTCACAGAAAAGGATATCTACATTGATAGCACAGAGGTCATCAACATTTTCAAACTCAAGGCCAAGAACAGGGTGCTGCTGTGAAGGAGTAGGTTATCCCCCTTCCCCCCCACTTTTTTTTTAACCTGCAAAACATGACTACATTGGCTGTTCAATCACATGGCCATCAAGACAGGAGGCTGATTCTGACAAACAAGGTGTGTCTTTTATTTCAAGTTCACTTGAGTACAAAGCTCTAACCTCTAGATATACTGTTATGCATAATATTATTAATAAACAAATTACTTTGTATTCAAATTTTTTTTCTCTTTAGAGGGCAGAGCAAGCACATGCCCTTTTTTCAGTTGAGCACCTGCCCTCCTAAAATTTTGTGCATGGGCCTGCTCAACCATGACTTACCTGAACACTAGTTATCCTTTGTGACCTATCTTGACACTCTTTACTCCCTCACAACCTACCTAAACACTTAGTACAATACTGTACTCCCTTATGACCAATCTTGGCAATCCCTACTCCCTCACAACTTACCTCAACTGGGTCTATCTGTAAGGTGACAGATGACTCGTTCTGTTTGGATGGAGTTTCAACCTTTGTAACTTCAAATCTTGAGGGTCTTCGTTCCTGATTCACTTCGCTCTCCATCGTATCTGCTGGGTCTGTGGTGATGGTGACAAGTGGAGTGATAATGCTCGAGGTGGACAAGACGGTGGCGGTGGAGCTGGTGGTGGGAGCGGGCTCGTTGAAGGTGGGTAAAGTAGGGGCTGTTCTGGGGATTCTTGGTGGCACTAACAGCAAATCTTTTTCACCTGGAGGTATAAAGAAAGGAACACTTCACTGGTGGAGAATGTAAATTATTTTTTCTGCCATTACAAGCTGACCTAACAAATTTGTGTCTCAGAAGTCCCCGGCTGAACTGTCACATCATCCAGAGAATGGTTTGGGTGTGGAAGGAGCAATTTGGGTTTTTTTTACATAAAATATGTGCTACTTTATTTACAATATGTTATGGCCATTTTTGATGCATCCAATTTGAAATGTGTTCAAATTACGCTAACTTAATGCTCATTAAATCATCTAACTCTGAACCACATTGTTTATATAGAGTGGAATAACTGTTAAAGAACTGTCCAATAAATATTATATTGAAGTGTAAGTTTAAAACATAAAGATAGTAATCGTGGAGGAGACAGTTAACACCAGAACGAAAGTTTATAGAATTGGTTCATTTTTTCACGAGATGTTATTTGTATGATAGTAAGTAATAAAAATGGTACAACAACTTATTCCTTTAATTTGAAGAACAATACAGGTATTTTTCGTTTTTCTCAACCCTTCAATCATAAATTACTCATTAGTGGGCACTGCCTGAAAGAAGAGGAAAATTATAGATAAATACACACTGATCATATGGCATCAAATATCCAGTAGCCACCATGGTGCTGGTCAGTTGTTAAGATAATATAAGGAAGTGAAGTCAGTATTTGTTAAAATGTAAAAGAAACAATGGAGGAGCTAATCAAGGGTTTGTAAAACTGTAATTAATGGCGTGCTTGTCTTTCGTTTCTTATTTTATAGGATCCAGTTTCCTGATTTCCATCTCTATGTTTGTTGAGATCCTTTATATTTTGTCCTTAGTGTGCAATAAGTTCCAAAACCTCTTCTCCGTACTGCAGACAAGATCAGCATCCTGTGGTTGAAAATGAATTCCCTAACAGGGGTTTGGATACCTTATGTTTGAATTTGCAGTTTCATTGGGTTCAAAGTCAAGTGTGAGTTCCTATTGATATTGTTCTTCCACAAGGCGATGCCTTGCTTTTTGTGTTTCATATACACTGTACAATTATGGTGCCATCTACTGGAAAACTGATATGTTATGACAAGGTATCTGTGCTTGTTGAGGATTAAGACAGTGCTAAAGACTTAATATGTGATCCTGGACTTCTTGGAAGGACTTGTAAGTGTTTAAAATGTGGCAGAAAAGTGACATTCAACTGACTTTATTTGTATCAGTGGAACTTGCGACCTGTTGTTAGGGGTTTCGGGTGCCATGGTTCCGTAATTAGCAATTATGGCTAAATAACTTTATATGGGGGAGGGGATCTGGGGGCTCCCCCTCTGGTTAGGAAGTTAAGTAGGGTTAGGTTAGGTAGGTCAGATCAGGTTCTGTTAGGTTCTGTGCATTGTTTTATCAATTTTCAATTTATTACTATGCAAATAACATATCTGGAAATTCTGGTCCAATTCCATAAGTTCTTTCTGGTGTTAGCCATCTCCTCCACCGTTACCATAAAGATTTGTACAATTAGATTTAGTCTTTTAGCAATTGATTTTCCTATGTTTTTAATGTTTTATCCACAAATCCATGCCTTTTGGAAATATAGGAAATTCGGCGACTGTACATCATGAAAACAGAGAACAATACAGTACTTCATAATTATAGAAGATATCATTATAGAACTGGTACAGTGGAATGATACTTATACTGTAAGTAATCTATCTATTAGCCACAATACCTGTAATTGGTGCAGAGTACTGAGACAAATTTTTTCATCCCCAGAAAAAATTACACATCCCTGGAATTTTTCGGGGGGACTGGTGAATGTTTCAGCATCAGACAGAAGGCAAAATATACTGTACTATAGATACTGTACACACTATACTGTGCTCACCAACAGCGGATGTTGTCTTGAACTTGTGATGCAGGCAAACAAAATGGTGATATGATGATACAGGATGGCCTGCCTTTATCTTGTACCATCTACTGAAACTGGTGTTGCTAAATGTCACTCTCCTCTCCCTCTATGAAGGAGGGATTGTACACATGCCCTCTACACACTAGCCTACAGTAAGCATATGTACTGTCCACTCTTGTTATATACAGTACTGTACATATGCTACTTTCACACTTACTGAATGTACAGTACTCTGTATAGTATACATAAATATGATCACTGTTTACATCTTAATACTGCTTTAACAGTATTCTTGGCTGATTATATGTTGATACAGTAATGTATAGTACTGCATAACACAGACCATATGCAAAAACGGCAGTGAGCGATGAACAAGCTTGTATAGTGGCAGCTGACTAAGAGTGTCATGATGCAAGAGTTTGAGGAGATAGGCTGTGAGATACATCAGCCAATCACAGGCATCCCATACAGTCAAATGACAGTAGTATCAATTATAGCTCACAAGCACTGAGCCTATCCACCCGTTATGTGTACCTGTGTCGGAAACTAGATACAATCTCTCAGAAATTCGTTTGAATAACTGAATGGAGAGAATATCTTAGATTTTTTTCAGAATTTTCTGGAAATGCATGGATGCAGTCATTAAAAAAAATTCAAATTCCCAGATTGGATATATTTTCATAGAATTTCTCAGAATGCTCAAAACCTTTTTTTTTCGGGTAATGGGAAGTTTTGGGGATCGAAGATTCCGGATAAAGGAGAGATTACTGTTCAACACAGTACACCCAGATAATTCGCGGATTTTTATTTTGCGGTCCTCTTTTATTCACGGATGACACCCTGGATGTACCCAAGATTATCTGCGGATAGTTTTAAAGTTGCCGCCATTTTCGTGGCTGGGACATGAAGCCATTCGTTCTAGAGACAGTAATTTCCTTTACCTGTATTGTGTACAGTACAGTCATTTCTGTTACAACGCAATAGTTGCGTTCTTGTGAAACATCGTGCTGTAGAAATTCGTGCAATAAAAATAACGGCTTATGGAGAAAATAGGGTTAGGTGCCGCACTCAAGCTTGTTCCAGCAATAGTGTTATAGCCTTTATTTTACGTTCACCACCGGCAATTCGATCACCAGAACGTTTCTTGGAAACATTCTTCTTACCCTGTCTTTCCATACCCCGCGCCACTCTACATTTAAAATGTTGAGAATGGAATCAAAACATTGAGAATGGAATCGTGTTATGGCCAACATTCGTATAGAAAAGTTCGCATTTTACAAAAAGCGTTCCCCAATTCATCAATCGCGTTACAACCAATTTGCGTATGTGTGTGTGTATGTAAGCACACACACACAAAACAGATACGTACAAATAAATAATAATGGAAAAATCCTCTCACAAATAATCAGAAAGAAATTTATTAAAAATGTTGAGTCTACCCTCAAGTCCACTCCTGCTTTATTAATAACAATGCACAGAGTAGACTTGAGGGTATACCCAACATTTTGAATATATATTTTTTCCGATTATTTGTGCCATTATTATTTATTTGTATGTGTCTTGTGTGTGTGTACACACACACACACACACACACACACATATACAATACAGTACAATACAGGTAAAAGAAATAATTGTCCTAAGGGCAAACACAAAAAGAATACAGTACTGTATACATTTCTTTGCCAACAAGTAAAAATGTGCTGTAAACTCTCTGTTTGCAAATGTTATTTGTGAATTTGGTGATTTGCAGCCATTTTGAGGTCCTAACCCCCATGAATTAGAAGGGCATGCTGTACTGTAATTGCACTATAAGGTACAGAGTGGGCAGTCCACAACTTGTAGTTTGGATTATTTTAATGTTATAACTGTTCCTGCCGCTCAGTGATGGAGTGTGCTGCTGTGCTGGCATCATTATTGAAGAGGATGACACACACACACTAAGTGCTTCCATTTGCTCCAGTTAATGTGCTATATACAGTACATGTATAACTTTTATTACTGTTTATACAAGAAAAAACACTTTAGGATTTTTTCAAACACAATGCAAAATATTATTTTTACAACAGGGTGAGAATTTTAAATAAATAAAAATAAAATATATAAAAAATATCCAAGAGACTAAACTTCAATTAAAAACTACTGTACTGTATACTATACTACTGTACTATTATTGTGATATAACTCATTAGAAGCTGCCATGTTACCTGATACAGTGCAGTACTTTGAGCAGCAACTTCACTGTAACAATCATGATACATTACTAACTTAGTGTCAATAAGGAATACAATATCAATGAACTTTCACACTAATAATTTAATGTTTAATATATCTATCTCCAAGTATCCTAAGGCAAAGCAACATAAAATGATACTGCTCCATTATTTATCATTACTTTAATCCCAACACTATCTGGGTTGAACAAGGGGTACAGAAAGTTCAATACAAAGAGGAAAATATGAATGATGAGTTGTGCATGACAGTACAGTACAGTAGAGCACAGTACAGTAGAGCACAGTACAGTACAGTACAGTAGAGCACAGTATAGTACAGTAGAGCACAGTACAGTAGAGCACAGTACAGTACAGTAGAGCACAGTACAGTACAGTAGAGCCCAGTTCAGTACTCAAATTCATATCTATGTATTACAAGTGAAGTTATATAGAAACCAAAAGTTTGCTCAATGTTTACACGATATCTTCTTCATTGTTTACCAAAGAATATATTCACACAACTTGTTCAACAAACTCCAATAACAGCTTCAACACAACTGAAAGCCTCTAACAAGGTGAAATTCAAACATAATTATTTGTGGGTATTATTAATCACTCTTCTGTTTGTTAGTAGATAATACATGTATGTTAAGACAACTTGGCAACATTCTTTAGGGCCACAATGCAAACACAACACTCTACCCATTACTTTACCTTTGAAGCTTAAACCAACGCCAGTAGCTGCAGTCATTGCTGTTACATAAAATGTTGTCAACAAAATATACCATGAACACAATATGTTATAAACTTGTGAAGTGCATAATTTTTAAAGAAACCAGAAATAACCTTGAAATTTTCATTCATTTACATTGTCTAATGGTGAGGAGGTACAAGTGGTGAATATTAATGTGACTGCACAAGTAACATCTATACCACCATAATAATATAAATATTCCTTACATCAATTAATTAAACCAGACATTATAAAAAATTCTTTGAATTAATCTATGAAATTATGAGTAACAATATTTACATACTGCATCTCAATGATACTCTATATTAAACACTGCTGAGGGGTGTGGTTATCTATGCTAGGCAAGACCTTAGAGCCAGCCAGGCGTGGTACAAGGAGAGGATGTTTTTGAAGAGTCCAAGTAGTGTAAAATTAAATTAAAGGGAGTGATTTACTTATTGCCGGGTGTATCTACAGATCCCCAAACTGTGACCTATAACACGACTTGGGTTCAGCTGGCAGTGGTGCCTACCAGCTTGCTCGCCAATTTGTATTCACTTTAAGTTATTTACAACCTCTTCAGCAGTCACTGATGACACTATGAACTGATTTAACTAAAGGCACATTATTACACTCCCTGGTTGGCCTTTATCACAACCGTGACCACAACTCCGTAAAAAAAAAAATTAAAAGCTTTGTCATATGGCAATGCTTTTGTGGTTGTAGGCCTCCTGACCTGGGCTGTACCTCCAACTCGGTGGAGATCGAGCTTTCAAAAATACAATCCCGTATAACATTAAAAATCCTACATCGATTTACACTTTCACATCAGTAAGACGATCTTGATGATCTTATGTAATCACTGTCCAATTTCTGCCGCTCAACAACGAAGGCCTGAATGCCGAACACGCCAAGTGACTTAAATAATCCAGCCACTCTTTTTGTAGAAACTCTGAGAGACAATTTTCTATTCCAACATGGTAACAATCTGATTCACTACAGAAGGGAACAAACACCCAAACCGCTGGACCTCATAATACCTAACGAGGAGGGTATGGTGGCCAAGCTGGAACACCTAGCCCCAGTTGGCACCAGTTACCACGTAACGTTATCCTTCAGATTTAACTGTTAACTTGGTTCATGACAAAGCCAGATCCAGGTTCAATATTACAAAGGAAATTACGACGGAATGAGGAGTATACACTGGCCTGACTAACTTAGGCATAAGAACGCAGATGCTACGTTGAATATCATAGCCAGTAAAGTAAACCATTCAATCGATAAATATATACCTAAGACCAAACCCAGTGCCTCCGGGAATACAAGAAGACCGCTACACATCAACCATGCAGCGGTCACATTTTCACCCCCCAGGCCCCGATGTGGGTCAGTGACCTGTGCCCGGGTGGGCTAAAAAAAAAAATGCTCCTCAAAAACACTTTAGGTTTTCAGAGCTTTTCGGTTTTTGGAATTTCGGATAAAGGGTTGTCAACCTGTACTTCAAATCCTCAACACATATTACACTATCAACAACAGCTGTCTCTGATGAAAGATGGATTACTCAAAACTAAAGTGTATTGAAATAGGGAATTATCAGTTCAGTGTAAATGTTTAATCACTGTATTGCTACCACTGATATTAAAGACAATAAGCTGGTGTTAGCAATAACAGAAAGCAAAACTGAGCTACAGAATACATTATTTTACTTGGAACTGCGTCTGTACTGTAATATGCAGTTAGCTGTTGTTCAGCTTTTCATAAAATGTATCTAAATCAGATTAAAAATACAGTACATATATTCAGTATGTTTAGCAGCCAACGACATGCAGCTATGTTGCTGCTGTACTGGATAAATGACCATACCACACTACAATACAGTCCTGTAATAATCAACATACCTCCACCAATGCCAGCCACCAATGCCAAGCCAGCTGAAGGCACTGTAGAGGATTTCTGCTTTCTCGCGTCTGCAATGTCACGGAGCCTCTGTTTTGTCTTATTCCTTTCATCCTCTTTTTCTTCTGCTGCCTGTTCAGCTTCAAGAGCTCTGCCAAGTCAAAACAACAGTTTGAATATGCAGTATTTATGACATAGCTACATGGAGGTCACACAATAAGCATTATGTCCATGTTTAAATAATTACTCTACCTTTTTCAATAGAATATTTGTTTTGCTGCAAAAATTCACTCCCTAGTGTTAATATCAATAATGTTACAAAATCAACACCATACAAAAGAAAATACATATAAAACTTATAATTGGTCATGCAATAAAAAACTAAAATAAGAAAAAAGTTTTGTTAACACCACTTAAAAGAAAAAAAGTCAAAAGAACAGAAAATGATCTTGTTATTTATGGAGAACATAAAACTAATTTAATATAAATATCTCATTAAGCATTTCTATATCTTAATTGTAAAGTACTAAGCACTAAATGTGTCAATTAAGGTACTAGAGGTATGTCCTAAGTGCAAGACAACTACAAAAACTTTAAGCACAAATTAAAAAGATAAAACCTTCTTATGGTAAACATTATCAGCATAAAATCTAAATACTTCTAATCATATACAATAAGTCCATCAATCTAGAAAAAGTCACAACAATCTACAGCTACTGTACAATGAGACGACCAGCGGCCATGTGTGTTCACCTACCCACAGAATGTATTGCGTCTCCGGACCATCGGTAGTCTAATGACCGAGTGAAATAAAGGTCAGTCATCAGATAATTGCACAGTAAGTTGCTTGGTATTAACTTGGTCTATACAAATCAAAGAGGCGATGGCTGTATATAGATTTTTTTTTACCAGGAAACCCATACTAATGTCAATCAAGAGGGAGACCAATTTTAATACCTCTGAACCTAAGATATAGTAAGTCACTCAAGTCTTCCTATATACAGTGAAGTGAAGTGAAGTGAAGTGAAGTGCACACACACACACACACACACACACACACACACACACACACACACAGTCGGCCCTTCACATACGCGGGTTTAGCATTCACGGGTTCGCAAATACGCGGATTGCCCCGCCGGAGGAATATTCTGTACATTGAAATAATTGAAGTACTGTACATTCAAATCGCGCGCGGCACCGAACACTGCACACCGCCCGCTCCCACTACCTCACACACACAAGCATAGCTCTCCCTCACTCAGTCAGTTTCGCTGTAACCACGCTTGTGTTGATATCAGCATTGTAGTTGCAAAAATATTACATTTCCGTAAATATATTATATCAAGCACAGTGTGAATAGAATATCACTAATATAACAGTATTTTAACCGAAAACTATTAAAAAAACTAGTAACATATCTTGAACATCGGAAGGTTAGGTAAAGTCTTTTGTTTTCATGTAGTTTATCCTAATTTACATTGAAATACATTACGTTTCAGCAAAACTGATATTTATTTCTGAGAATATGGAAATGTAATATTTTTGCTGAAATGAAGTACGTATTACAGTGGTCAGTGACGAAAGCAATGACTTTCGCTTTCTTTCGTTCAAAAGATGTTACCGTAATTGCTTTTCGAATGGTTTTCAGTTAAAAAATGTTGTATTACAATAATATTCTATCCTAATTCACTTGTGATGCAACAGTTTTTTAACTGAAAACCATTCGAAAAGCGATTACGGTAAAATCTTTTGAACAACGAAAGAAAGCGAAAGTCATTGTTTTTGTCATGATTTTATCCCACTTTCCACTGTAATATGTACGTCATTTCAGCCAAAATATTACATTTCCATATTTATTTCTGAGAATATATTCATTCAGTCACAGTTAAGGTAAAATATACTTGTGATATAATATTTTAATGAAAATACGGTGTCATAGTTTTCTTTTGTTTCAAATTTAATTAACAAAGATTGATGTTTCAAATGTAATGAACAAAAATGTATGTACAGTATCTATAAATAAACTTTAATAAATGAATACTTTATGTTTTACATCGTCCTGTACATACCATACCATGCATTTGGCTACTTTGGGATTGCTATGATGACGCAAGAGATCTGCCCTGGCAACTGTACCGACACTCACAGCTGGTGGTGCGTTGGTGCGTCGTTTCCATTGTTTACTGGTAGTTACTGGTAAATATTTTTCAACCTAACGAAACTATTACCCGTTTAGAGGTTCGACCCCCAATTTTTTGGGGGGCAGCAAATAATTTGGTCTTAAAAACTTGTATATATATATATATATACACACACAGTTGAGTCTGGATTTACGCGGTTTTGGTTTACGCGTTTGGTCATTTACGCGGTGCCTTGCCAGAATTGAAATGCTTGATTTACACGGTAAATTTGGTCATTTACGCGGGAAGCGGCGCAGGCAGGATGCGCACAAGTTCGCCCAGTCATCAAAACATTACGGAGTTCTTCACCCGCCACCTACTACAATCGGCCCAAGTCAGTGATAGTGATAGTGAGGATATGGACTTTGAGGGGTTTGACAAAGAGGCCCTGCAAGCCTATGTGGTGGACAGTGATACAATTGATACAAGTGATACAGGTGAGGGCCAATAATCTGCCCTTTTGTAACATCCACGTGTGTATGTTCTCTGTGTATCGGAAAAAGTGGAGTTTGGGGGTCGGCCCACTATTTCAATTAATCCCTTATGTTCTGTTATTTCATTTACGCGTTTCTGTTTTACGCTGTACTCCGCGGGTTCAATTGACCGCGTAAATGAAGACCCAACTGTGTATATATATATATGTAAATGTGTATATATATATATGTATATATATATATATATATATATATATATATATATATATATATATATATATATATATATATATATATATATATATATATATATATATATATATATATATATATATATATATATATATATATATATATATATATATATTTCAAATTGACAGTAGGCTAGAGCATTAAAATATTCTCTAAACATTTTGGATGATGAAAAGCTTTGCATCCTTAAAGCCCAAATTAATACAGCAATACTCAACATCTGTACAGTAGAGACAAACTTTTCTGGATGGCTCGGCTGTCATAGGTGTGAGGTAGATATTAATTAATTGTATTATGGTATGTCATAATAAGGAGAAAAAGAAAGAAGACTACAAGTATAAAAAGTCCTAAGAAATCTATTTATTATCTGTCTTACGGATGTTTCTGCAACTATATATATACTACAGTATTTATGAATGTGCTACAATGAATTTAAAAAATGAATTATGTGCAAGATATTAGGTGACTCCCATAATTGTATAGCGGTAAGCACTAGTGAACTTTTCTTGACATTCCTGTCACCATTAATAAAAATAGTTGCACAGTAATTCTGAATATACAACAAATAAATATCCTATGGTTACCCAATACTGTAATTTACATATTGGAGCAAAGTGTAAAATTACCTGCAAATAATTTGAACATTACTATCGAGTTTTCCCTTACAATTTTCCCATTCACGAAATATCCCAGTCATTACAAGACTTTTCTGTGGTCTGCTATAGCTGTTTAAAATGGCTTGTTCAGAGCTGACAGATTGATTAAAATCAACAATGTGTAGGACATCAATATATATTTCTCAAACTATACTTAAGTTAATGGTGAAGGTAATAAATATAGAAGACAGTACCCATTCAAGCCCATACAGCACAGCAGTACAGTACTAATATATGGTGACACATGAATAGACTTGTCTCTTTCTTTTTTAGTTTATAACTTACTCTAAATTACTGAGTGTATTTAAAAAGTAATAATTATTGTACAGTGATCCCTCGGTTAATGAGCGCCTCAGTTAACAAAATTTCGGTTAACGAATTACCTTCCATAAGATTCTTAACTTCAGTTAACGAGCATTCCCTCGATTAACGAATTCCTTACGAATTTTTCCCAACATGTTTTCTCCTGCATTTGGCTGCCCACCAGCTGTAGTATTAGTCCGCCAATACAGTAATCGGTTCTAGGGCTTAAATTCCTTACTATTTTAGTAAATATCAAGAAGTTTGTACTATTCAATAATTTTAAAAGTCTTACATTAAAATTTTTAATCATTTTAACAATTATTTAACATAATTTAAGTACAGGGAAACTAGTTTTTACAGCGCCTAACAGCCTGTCAACACACCATACAGGCGTCAGTCTCTGTGTCTTTTCAGTGGAGGTAACATCTTGCTTGAGACTCTCTTCAACTAAACGCTTTTTTTCTGTGTTTCCAAGCAAATTATTGGTCATTTTGAAATTTATTTTACATATTGACAATATATAATGCAGTGCAGTGGTGATTTAAAGAAAATAATCTTGAATTACACCAAGTGAACTAAAATTTTATGGGTGAAATGGCGCCATGGGGTGACTTCTCTTCCACCCCAATGCCTTCTCTTCTCCCTTCTCCTCCACCCCCATTCTAATTCCCATCATCATCATCATCATCATCATCATCATCATCATCATCATCATCATCATCCAGGAGCCTTCTACATACACACCTCAAAGTAAGTGTACTTTACTATCTTTTTTGTTGACTTTAGGCAATTTTCGGTGAGCTGGAACCAATTACCCAAAAACCCATTGAAACGATGGTTTCGGTTAATTAATTTTTCGGTTAACGAGCAACCTTCTAGAACGAATTGTGCTTGTTAACCGAGGGACCACTGTATGTATATTATATTTTTTCTTTTGGAACATAAACGTTCCAAAAGTGCCAACAAAGGTGCAACAATACAGATATATCCTGCACTTATGTAGCACAAATGGATGATACAACAATTAAAACAAGATCATAAACTCACTTCTGGGCAGCAAATTTCCATTTGTTAATGACTTTGAGTCGTCGATCTTTCCCGAGATGTTCTTCAAGCATTGATATGAGTTCCGTTCTCTGTATTGATCCCAGAAGGATCATGGAGTCTGCAGTACCAGAAAATGAACAATTAAACACATTCTTCACTCACGACCCCCTAAAACTACCATGTTAAAATACAGATGGAGAGATTTTTGTCAAATTGCTGCAAGTAATTCTGTATTCCTTTTGTAATGACAAATTTCACATTAGTTATTGTGTATACAGTATCATAAAGAAACAGTACCTGGAGAGTCAACAAGGGGTAATGATCTTATTTTCCTATGTTCTTTGAGAATATTCTTGAGCTGCCGATAGGTGATGCCATACCAAATGTATTTCACATCTCGAACCATAAAATCTTCTACATAAATATTATAGGCACCAGAAGTTGCTGTTAGAATATCAGGAAGATATGGCAGTTTCTTAATCTGGATGATTGAATCATACACGGATGGTTGAAGGAGTTGTGCAATGCCATTTGCAATAAGGACAGCAATCTGATGAACAAAATATCAATTTAAAAAGAAGCGTTAGAACAGAAAAAGATATCAGTGTAAATAATACCACACAAGTGGAGGTGGTACAAATTGGGATGGTTAAATACCTTATAGGAAGTACATTTACAGTACAGAAGTACAATATGAACCCAAAATTTTCACTTGTAATAAGTCTGCCATTTTTTAATTGTAGAGACCAATATGCCACGAGTAAGCTAGTGTTGTCTCATCATTCAAGAAGTATTATTAAAAGATAATTCACAGAGATGAGACTTACCATAACAGGGAGAATGTGAGTGATCTGGCCAGTGAGTTCAAAGACAATGACAGAGGTGGAGATGGTGTGAGTGACGGCACCGGCCAGAGCTGCTGCACCCACTATGGAGTAGCCACCTGTTAGGGGTTGTTATAGTTATGGTTCAAGAGCACATGTGAGATATTTAGTACCAAACATCTACAAGTCTTATAGCATTCATATACTGTACTGTATAGCTAATTTTTTTTTTAACATCATAATTTGAAATGAATAACAGCTAATAAAATTACAGTAAAATGAAAGTAGATATGCAACTTTCACCTCAACAGACCTGGAATAATAATATGATTGTGACCACCATAGCGCAGGCCATTTGGGAAAGTGGACGCCATTGTCTCGCCCACAATTCTGCCCAAAGCTGCCCCGATCTTAAACACTGGTATGAAAATACCCGATGGTACTGGGAGAGTGCTGGCGACCACACTGCCACAAAACTATGATGAGACAAAGTGGAATTAACAAATCATGTGAATCATGATAAATTAACTTGGTAAGATATGGCATTATAAAAAAGCCGTTTTTTATAAAAACCAGCTTTTGTGATATACTCCAGAATGCGAAGCCTAGCTTATACCTAGGTATGTTAATGCCAAGCAATAACTCGCCAGGCCAACATACAGGCAATTAAAGCATCTAATAATTACTTAATAAGTAATATTAGGAGGACAAGTCGCTACCTGGCATTTAAATGCAATTCTCAAAACCCCCTCCCGCACCCTCCATCACACGCACTGCCACCGTCATCTCTTGCCTTAGAGCGAGCAGTAAACAAAAGTCAACTCTCGAGTGGTGGAGATGGATGGGTTATCAGCGTCGCATTCTGGAGTATACCGTATCACAAAAAATGTTTTTTAGAAAAAAAAAAAAAAAGACTTTTTGTTCAATCCAGAATGCAACGCCTAGCTTGAATCCCCAAGCAGGAGGTGGAGAGGGAGGTGATGTTGCATACAAGGCTCTGCTAGCTTAGGTCCAGATTATAATTATAAACCGTTCGGAATATTTTCCAATATTAGGAACATTTACCAGGTTAAATGTTAATTTACATATCTCAATGAGGATACGCACTTTATTCTGATGAGGAAGAAGAAGGTCCTGGTTGTGGAGATTGACTAGGTGGGGGAGGGGACCCCAGCACCACCACATGTGAAGCACCTTTCAGAGATAGATGAGGGTAGCTGTTTTTAAAAGTTTTTGAAGATCTCCAAAAGCCCACTTCTTTGATCTGACTGAGGCTCATATGCTGCAGAAAGGCCACAGACCCTGCATATTTCCTGGTGTCATGTGCCAAAAATTTCTTACCAGGGTCTTCATTGATTCACTAACTGAGATAAATATTTTGTCATTTGACTAGGAGACAATTTCTTACCATCCTGTGATGAGAATACATAGGAGCCTCGATTAGGGAATCTGGTTAACCATTCCTGAAAATTTTTACCTTTTTTTTTTTACGGGGATTAGCCCACCCGGGCACAGGTCACTGACCCACATCGGGGCCCGAGGGGCGAAGATGTAATAATAATAATAATTCATAGTAAATAAAATTTATAATAAAAAGTAAAATAAAATATTAGTGGTAATAATAATAATAACACTGTGATGATAATAATAATAATAATAATAAATACAAAGAAATACAGGAATGATAAGAAATCAATGGTGAGAAATGCTATATGTATGTTGTGTTGTCATGTAAGAGTAACAATTGAGACCCTACAATTGTGTGTAAATGAGGCAGAAAGACAGATCAGCAATCTGGGACTTGGTCACAATTTTCGTGATGCCATATGGCAGCAGGGTCTACCATTAGACAACACATTATGCTTCCAATATCTTCCCAGGCGGTAGTACCTCTCTGCTTGGTAGCTACCTACTACGTACTGGGCACAATATATGAGGAACCCTTGTCTCATCCATTAGGCATTTTATCCTAATAGGTTGAGCTTGAAAATCCTCCCTTTCATTTCCTCAGAAAATACCAATAATGATGGATTATTGGAAACTGAAATCAGTTCACTGATTCTCATACCTGTTGCTATTGCTAGAAGGAAGGCTGCCTCCTGGAGTAATCTGTCCCGGTTAAGATTTATATTGTAATTAGGCCCCATAAGAAATTTAGTAACTTTTTCTGGAGACCAAGGTCGGATTCTCTTAGGCCGAGGGGATCTCTACATGAAAAAGGACAATCTGAGCATTTGATAAATCCCTAGGTTCAAAGTAATATTAAAACCCCAAGCCAGAGGGTCAACCAATGCTGATTTATAAGATGCAATTGTCGATCCTTGAAGGCCTTTAACTCTGAACAGAAATTCTAAAAATTCTAACACAACTGTTTCCGACAATGTGTCTGGAGTCGTTAACTTAATAAATTGTTGAAAAAGTTTCCAAGCTTTCTCATATTGCATAGAAGTTTGGGGTCTATGACCTGCTATTACTTGGTTAGCTGTATTGGAATTACCTGACAATCTACTTAAACTCATTTTGAGAAACTCCAAGCGTGAAGTGCCAAGGCTATCTCAAACTGAGAATGCAGTACCTGGTCTAGACATCCTTGTTGCAATTGTAGTGGATGCGGGCACCAGTCCAGCTTGATTTGACCTGGTTTATCTTTAATCCTATGTTTTGAAATAGTACTAGTGTACGTTGGGTCGCCCTTTGTCAATCTTCGAAAGTTTCCCACAATCAGCCAATCGTCTAGATAAGCAAAAGTTCTTATGCCCTCCTTCGCAAGGATCTCTCTGGGGTTGTTTGTCAGTTTTGTAAACACTTTTGGCGTAATTGTCAGACCGAATGGCATCAGCGTGAATTGATAAGTTACATCCCCCACTGCAAACACTGGAAACTTTCTGTACCTGGGAGCAACAGGAACGTGATAATAGGCATCTTCGAGATCCACTTTTGAGATCCAAGCATTGGGCGGAAGTAGATGCCTCAGATGATCGTAAGTGAGTATCTTAAAACTTTTTCTGGTAATAAACTTGTTCAGGACTGAAAGATCTAAAATCCATCTCAATTTGTCGCTGCCTTTCTTGGGGACTGGGAATAGGCGAGACATGAAACATTTCTCTGACTGTAACAGTTCTATTACACCTCTGTTTAAAAGGTGAATTACAAATTCTGTGAGTAAGGGGGTTGATTTTTTACCCCTTTTTGGTAATGCTAGGGGAGGACGCTTCAACCAAGTACCATGTGAGGCCCCCTTTGATTGTATTGTAAGCCCATATGAAAGAAGTCCATCTGTTTTCCCAACCCCCTAGATGACCCAGCTGTCTGACTTCATTGGAAGGGAGTGGTCGCTGATGTGATGGAATAAGGTCTCCTTCCACTTCTTAACAAACGGCCACCCCTACTATGTCTTGGATTGTTTCCTCCTCTAAAGCTTCCTCTAGGTTGAGAACTGAACCCAGCACCTGGTTCTGTTCCCTTGAAAAACCTTCCTCTTTTAGTAATCTCCTTACTGCCTCAATAACCTACTTTTCTTAGCAAAAGCAGGCTTGTCTAATTGGGGATTAAGTCTCTTACCTAACACCAACTTGGGATCTTTCCATTATTTTACATTTACAAATTTACTCTTAAGGCCTTATTCCACCTATTTTTAATTTTGATCTGCAATAATTCTTTCTTATCTCCTGCAGCTTGATTAAATTGAAAAATTTGATCATAACAAATTGCACAATCCATTGGTGAAAACAGGTTGTCTGAGACACAGCTGCCATGAATTATGCAAGCCAAATGAGGATCTATCTTGGTAATCCAAGTGGCTCTACATCCTTGATAATTACATGTAGTATGGTCCCCTTGGGTCCTGGGTGAAACTACTACTACTGAATTCACATCCTCTACTGATGGACAATTCCTTGTATGTAGTGTTTGAGCTGAACTTTCTAGTCCTTGTAGCTCATCATTCAACACTAGTTCCCCAGGGACAGTTCCATGGTCTCCTCCATCATCCATCAGTCCAAACAACTGTCCTTCATCCTCCAGTTGCACATCACTCATCTAAACTAGGAGGAGCACTATGAGTCACATTGTATCATCATAATAATTCAAGGGAGATAAAATTTTCTCCCAAACCTTAATCAACATGACTCGTAACTTATATTTTAGTAAGTTATTTCATTAAGATCTCTTACTGTTATAAAAGTCACCAGTTTGACAATCATAAACAACAAACTCACTATATCGTACACCTTTCCCTTCTCGTATCTCAATTATCCCTCAGCTCAATGAACTTTATTTTTTAATCAAACTAACTACATTTAGAGCATTTTATTTTGAGGGATCATCAAGTTCTCTATTTGTTGCCAATCAGGGTGCACAGAAATCATTGCCTCAATTAATTAGCTTGAGCGAAAATGCCTGAGTGAGCGTCGTCACCCGGCAGGGTTGACAGTGCTGAGCTGCTACCATAGAGCTCCATTGGCAACATCTTTCACTATTACTCTAGCAATATGTATTGGGTTGAGAATTCCACCCTGAATGGTTCTCATATAACCCATATATGGATACAAGGTCCATCCCAACATAACTCTAGATTGCTAGTAAGACCGGGAGGTCAGTGTCCGGAAGTAACACTAAGGCTAGCAGCCTCGCTAAAGTTCGCCTGGAAAGGATGAACCCGCTACAGAGGACATCAATAAAATAGAGTTTTGAAGAGAAAAACTCAACTCTAGCCTTCATGCTGAGAGTAATTAGAAAACCCAGGGCAGAAGCCCGAAAAGTTTTGTGAACGAACATAAGAGTAGGGAGAGAGATAGCCACATAAATCATGGTATTCATACTAGCACGTGTATAATTGGGACAAAGTACAGTATATATATATATTCTCTTTCAGTGAAGATGAGCCCGGGAGGGTGCAACGTCATTCACTGAGTGACTTGAAAGCAGAGGAAATTAGTCACTAACACTCCAGCGACTTCAAAATAGAAGACACGCTGTGGTCTCCATGCTGACCAGATCGTATAAGAAATTGTCCCAAACACAATATCTGAGAGACAAACAAAATAAAAGTCACTCGATTTCCTCACTGTGCTAAGATGTATAAATACAGTATATAAAATCCTCGTGGCACTTAGGATTTCATCTATTACAACACAAATTGGCGGAGACTTCTTTGTGTGTATTTACAGCTGATTCACCAGGCAAGAAGATGACGTTGGCAGTGCGTGTGATGGAGGGTGCGGGAGGGGGTTTTGAGAATTGCAATTAAATGCCAGGTAGTGACGTGTCCTCCTAATATTACTTATTAAGTAATTATTATATGTTTTAATTGTCTGTATGTTGGCCTGGCGAGTTATTGCTAGGCATTAACTTACCTAGGTATAAGCTAGGCGTCGCATTCTGGATTGAACAAAAATTATAATTTCAGTCTCAATTAAATTTTCTTTTTAACAGGCCAATTTTGACAATTTTCTCCTGGTAAAACTGTAAAACTTACTGTGAATGTTATGTATAAAAGAAGGTTGATGAAGATCCCTGTCCATGGTGTCCGCCAGTTTTCCACCAGTTCAAATTCATGAACAGTGTGTTCCTCTTTGGTCCAGGTGACATTACTGAACAACTCCACCACCTTAGAGAGAGGGAAAAAGGATTCAAGCGGGATGGAATAGTGTGCAAAGGGAAAAGGATCGAATATGGACAACTGGTAGATTACTTTTTAATACAGTAAACACTCTCAATAAAGGATGTTACCAATAACAGACATCTTTTCATCTTGTATAATTAACAGAATCAGCCAGTAAGATCTGGTACAGTGTTGGAAACATTGTCTGTTATAGACCACATGGTTAGTTGTGTTGTGTATATTGGAACTGCTAGACTCAGCACAGCTGAAAATGTTTACAGGAAGAAACAAACAATGTATTGTACTGCACTTGTGTAAGTGTTAAACTGTTAAACACACTTAAATTTCTTATAAGCATATTTTTTATTAAGAAACTGCTAAAATATAAATTATTATTTTTGTTACACAATATATTGGTAGCTGGAATTTTTTATCATTTAAGACAAGTAGATATTTTAATATAAGTGAAGGTGGCACAATTCTTGACCCACAGTTGCTCCGAGTTGAAGAGTGACATTATGTTATTGTGTCGGCGCCGATATTACTGACCAAAATATCAGTAACCAGTGACGGCACCAAGTGTGAGCACATTCAAGACTAAACTTGATCAACATTGGAGGAATAAACTATGGATGAGGTGGCCTGTGAGATGGCATGTTGCCATAGTTACATGTACTGTAATGAAACCATAAAAAGCATGGAAAAATCATTACAATACTGTACTATACTCTAATGAGGCTTAGAAATAAAGAAAATTTAATAAAAAACTATAAAATAAGAAAAATGAAGAGCAAGGGTGTGTATGTGAGTGGAGTGAATGTACGTTTTGAGCCAGTGGGTTGTAACTGTGTCGCCAACTCACCAGCTAGCCTTGCTCTCTCCCCTGATGTGACATCAAAACACACACACACACACACACGTCTCTGAGTCAGCTGGGTGGCTGCCCGGATGAACTGCGTCCTGTTGCCCAGAGAATGGTTCCAGTGGTTTGTACATAAAATATGTGCTATTGTATTTTTTGATATACTATGTACATTTTCAGCCTTTCATGGGGTACACTGTTGAAAGCCTTGGCAAAATCTAGGTAAATATTGTCGATATTACCAGCCCATTCCAGAATATGGGTCCAAATATTCAATACCTTGAGCAATTGTGTTAAGCAGGAGCGCCCCGGTATAAAACCGTGTTGGCAATCTTTTACAAGGTTGTTTCGTAGTAGATGTTCTATCGCGGCATCTCTGATAATACTTGCAAGTACTTTACATATTATGCTGGTCAGGCTCACCGGTCTACAGTATAGTTGTTCGTGGAGTGACGATCGCCTTTCTTGAAGATAGGACCCATATAAGCCATTTTCCATTCACTGGGGACCTTTGTTCATCCAGGCATTTACAGAACAGGATCTTCAGGGGCTCAGCAAGCTCGTTGCACAGCTCTGTTAGCACTCTGGGATGCACCATGTCAGGGCTGGGACAGTTTATCTCTTATAACCTCTTCTGTCAGCACAATGTGAGTTAGTGCTGTGTCGAACCGTCTGTCTTCAAAAACAGGAAGATTGTGCACATCCTCTCTTGTGAACAACGAAAAAAGAAACTGTCCAATGCCTCAGCTTTGTCCTGGTCAGAATCTGCATAATTACCATCATCAAGCCTCAGGTCTGATACTCCTACTCTCGTTTTAATTTTGACTTTGTGTAGCGGTAAAACGCCTTTGGGTTTGCCTTGATCTCCTTTTCAGCCCTTCTACACTCTGACTTTGCTTGGTTCCTGGCTCTTGCATACATCCTTATGTCCTGCCCATCATTTGACCTAACCCACATCGTGAATTTCTCGGTTTTCATCTTGACCCTTAGGCCCTGGGTGACGTTCCAGAATGTCCGACCAGCGTGCCCCGGGTGATGTTCCATAACGTCCGCCTATTCCCGTCAAATTTTTTATTTTTTATATATATTTTTTAATTATTTTTAGAAAAGTTGATTTTTTATCGATTTATCCCTGTGGGGGGGGGGGGTACTGCCAGCAGCACCCTAACCTGGGGCTTAAGGGTTAACTTTGTCGACTGCTGCATGGTTCATGTGTAGGGTGTCTCCTTGTACAGTAAGTCTTCGCTTAACATCGTCCCGCTTAACGTTGTTTCACTTCTACGTTGCTGAACTTTAGAGACCAAAAATTCGTTAACGTCCCGGTGATCCGATACAAAGTCATTTTGCGTCTCCACGGACTTCTTTCTAATGCCCATCACCCGCTCTTGTCTGGCCATACTACACTCTCTTGGCTCGGTGCACTGCCCTCACTTGCGGAACGTCACAGCGTCCCTAAGCGATGCCAAGCCGGTCTCTGTTACGACTTCACATCATTCGTGTGTGCTTAAGTGCTTTTGCTCAAAAACTGTACTCTAACCATTCGAAATGGCTTCCAAGTGCCCATCAAGTGCTACTGATGCTAATGTAGTGAAGAGACAATGTAAGACCATTACCATTGCTATGAAAATGGATGTATTAACCCGATTTGAAAAAGGGGAACGTGCTGTGGACATAGCCGCTGTGCTTTGTCTAACCCCCACAACGGTGAGTACTATCCGGACCAACGCTGACAAGATTAAGGTTAGTGCTGGAAGTGGTACTATTCTGAGTACTACTAAGACGAGTCGTACTAGAAGTACTGTGATAGAAAAGGTGGAAAAGATGCTGGCAATGTGGATGGAGGACCAGAATCAACGCAATGCCCCTGTGAACCTAATGATTATCCAGCATAAGGCCTGATCCTTGTTTGACGACATGAAAGAAACAGAGGGTGAAGGATCGAAGGAAGAGACCTTTACAGCCAGCCGAGGCTGGTTTCAATGATTTAGGTGTCGGTATAACTTCCACAACATAAAGATGACTGGTGAAGCTGCCAGTTCAGATACAGTTGCTGCCGAGACTTTTCCCGCCAACAACGGAGGAGGAGCAAAGAGCGGCGGAGGAACCCCAGTCAGAACAGAAGGAGGAGGAGGCAGCCACAGAGTCTCAGTGACTTACCACCCTCCTCCTCTCCCGCCATCCTCCTCCTTCATTCCACTACCCACCACACACTCGCTCTAACACCTCTACCCATCGTTGAGTACCAATACAAACTTAGTATTGTAGTTCTATATACTGTACTATTTTCTATAGATATGGCAATGATTTTCTGTATATTTAACTTTTTTCATGGGGCAAAGGGAGGCTGGGAAACGTAACTCCCATATTTTATGTTTCTTATGAGGAAAATTGATTCACCTAACGTTGTTTTGCATAATGTCGTGTTTTCAGGAACGTAATCCCAACGTTAAGCGAGGACGCCCTGTATTCCTAGAGGCACTGGGTTTGGTCTTGGGTGTTTGCTCCCCTCTGTAATGCGTCGGGTCTCTAACATGTTGGAACAGAAAATTATCTCTCAGAGTTTCTACAAAAAGAGTAGCAGGGTTATTTAAGTCATTTGGCGTAAACTCATTTCTCAAGTCATTGTCGCCATAGTTAAAGTCCCCCATGATAAGGAGGTGGCTGGGGTTGAGCATCACTGCCTTGTCCATTAAGGCTCTTAAGTTCCTTTGGTTTAGTAAGCTACTGTTTGGGTATCTGTAGATACATCCAACAATAAGTAAGTCTCCTCCCTTTAATTTAATTTTACATCACTTTGAGTCTTCAAAAAATCCTCTCCCTCTATCCTCGCCTGGCTGGCTCTAAGGTCTTGCCCAGCATAGATAACCACACCCCTCTTGCAAGTTTCTTGAGAAAGGTTCGTAAATGAGTCATATCCAGCAATACTGAACTCACATTCCTCTGGGTCGATTCTCCTGTTCTTGTACAACAGTTCTACAACTCCTACAATATCTGGTTGGTGTACCTTCAGTAGTGTTTCAAACTCCTCTCTCTTATCAAGAAACGTGTCAGTATTAGTGTGCATGACATTCAAGCCAGAATTTGTTCTCAGTAATGTCTCTGCTCTTAGTAGTAACCCCACCTCCCCCTCCCCCATTCTCAGAAGCTGCAGCATTTGCTAAATACACTGTATTTTGCAGGGTGTGGTCAGAAATGTCATTGTTTACATGGCACTTGCCTCCTCCAGGGTGGGAGGTAGAGCGAATAGGGGGTGTATCGCTGCCCCCTGGCTCTGTGCTGACACTCTGTTTCCACTACCCTCTCCCTGGATATAACCCATGCACACCCATCCTCGAACTTCTCTACTCCTCCCTCCTCTGCTTCAAGCCCTGTAGGAGCTTCTTGTGCTGTTCCCTCTGCATTACCGTGCAATCTGGGTGAATGAATATATTCTGTAATGCATCGCTCCTTGCCAAGATTTTTGCGTGCTGAATAACTTCCCATTTCTTCTCCTCACTCACTAGTGTGATCCTGAGGGAGCGAGGCTTGTTCTCCTGCTTTTGACCCTGCCTCCTCACATCCTGAGGGGGGCTGACATATTCAGAACCACTGTGCAAATATTCTCGAACTGCAACTTATCGTGTGTTTTCCTACTCTCAGTCACGTCACTGTTACAAACTGTTGGCAAGTATTGGGCATGTATCAGCTCCAGAATGTATCTGTACCTGTGCCAGTGTTGATCAAGTCTGGTCTTGAAAGAGCTCACACTCAGTGCTGTCACAACACTCTCTGGCAGATTGTTCCAAGAGTTTACAATTCTCACTCCAAAAAAATTTGCCCTCATAGTTTTCTAAAATTGTGACTTCTTCAACCTTGAGGTGTGGCCTCTTTTGGGGTGGGTATCTACCAGCTATATGTATGAACGTTCATCTAGGTAATGTTTATAAGCTTCAATTAAGTCTCCCTTAGCTTGCCTATAGTACAGTATAAGTTAGGCAGTTGCAGGCACTCAAATCTCTTTGGGTAACTGAGGTGCTGCAGCACAGGTACCAGTTTCATGGCCCCCCTTTGGACATGTTCAATCAAGTGACAGTCTCTAGCATATTTCACAGACCAGAGGGTACTCTAGGTACTCAGGTGCCATTAAGAGAGCTCAGGGTCTCAAGTGGTTCAGCCATGTCAATAGTTATTATTATCGACTCTATCTGTATTTTTCTGATTAAATAAACTGTTTCAATATCAATATCAATGGCAAAGCAGCTCACTCTTGAAGAGCATTATGAGGGATGGACCATCTTGATATCTGAATGACATTCTTATAAGACTACCGGTATTAGCTTAGTTGCTTGATTCACCTTCTTTTCACAATGGTCTGAAAACTTCAGTTCAATGTTGACATACACAACCAGGTCCTTCTCACATTCGGCCTATGATGATGCTGTTTATTGGTCCAGTTGGGACATGTGATACACCTCCTTACTGTTGGTATAACCAAGGTGCATCCTCTTACACTTTGTGACATTTAATATTAACAGTCATTCCTTCGACTACTCTTTGAAGCTGACAGAGATCTTTTTGTAGCTCTTTACAGTCCGTTTGGTTGAAATTGACCACAAACATTTGTATGGATGAGTGTATAGCGTCTGGCATATCAATTATGGAACAAACAAACAACATCGGGGTCAGTACACTGTCCTGTGGTACCCAACTTGTCACAGGTACTCATGATGATTTCGTGCCATTATCACTGATGGCAGTCATGAAGAAAAGTCTCTGATCCACGCTAGAACACTTCCCCAAATCCTGTAACCTTCCAGTTTAATTCACAGCCTTTCATGGGGTGCTCTGTCAAAAGCCTTGACAAAGTCCAGATTTATATCTAGTCGATATTGTTGCCACTTTCCAGAATTTGAGTCCAACCAACAAGCACCTTAACTAAATGTGTCAAGTAGGAGGGTCCGGACAGAAAATCATGTTGACATTCCTTTACAAGGTTGTTTCATAGTAGATGTTCCATTGTGACATTTCTTAAAGTGCTCTCTAGAACTGTACATGAATATGTAACCATACCTCCGTCTAAATCAAGTACTGTAATGTGTCACAGATGGCCTTTTAGTGCGTTATACAATAAGGATAATTTAATTAATTCAATATTTTCCAGACATGCATAAAGGATTGAGTTCCTCCTTTAAATACAGTAGTAGACCATACACACACACATCAATGAATGAGCACACTATGAGGTGCTCTTGTTGAATGGTGGACTAACATCCTATCAAAGGACGGAGTAACCCACTAGTTGCTGGATGCTAAAAATAGGGAGATCAGCAAAGGTAGAGGAGGCTTATATGAATAAAAAAAATTTCATTAGTATTAAAGTACAATTTTCATGATGTGAAGAGCATTATAATACATTCTGTTCATATACATAGTGCAGGAAGAAATGCAATTATTATGTGATAATCTTTTTTTTTATGATTATCAATTCATGACAACAACCAGTGAGTAACATAACTTACATGCAAGAGAGGGACTACTGTACTGTATCTGTAATTATACATACAAAATTAATTCTATAACATTACTGATTTCATATACCAATGCATCACAATGTACAAGAAGGTAAGTACCACAGTTATCACAGTTTTGTTTACTATAACAAAATGCATTTTTTTTCATTCCATTACAATTTATCAATTTCAGTGAATTAGAAGCATGATCCTTCCACTTGCTTAAGGGTATGAGAAGTGGAAGTTTATCATAACAGCTTAAGTAAACACAACTTTTCATGCCATCAGGACTTATCCTTGTCATAATGAGGATCCTTAAAGGTATAGCTTATGCAACAAACAAATTAAAATAATACATGATGGAAGTCACACATCCATGATAAATGTTAGGATACAAGAGAGCAGTAGGGCCTCTGAGGGTAGTATGGAGGGGACCATGTCAGGGGCTGGCAAGTGGGGTCTTTCTCCCATGGTTGTGTTTTTGTGGACAACAAAGGTCAACCTTTTTACTGCACGATATATAACAGCTTAAGTAAATAAGTACAGTGAAACATTCCAAGTATAATGCATTATGGTACACTATTTATACAAATAATATTTCTGTCATCACTAACAAAAGGCCAAGTGCACAGTGACTGTTAAAAGCAGGAAGACTGTTCACTACTGCCACTAGTTCACTTAATACCACATGCTAAATGTCCCTAACTCTTAACATTTATATCACACTATCTGGTACTGCATGCAACTTCAGTTGCATTTATGGACCATTAACTGTTATTAAAAAATGACAAACAGCATTTCCTAGTCCATAAACCAAGATACAAGACTCAAACATTTTCTTGGTGACAAATGTTTAAACCATGCAAACTGTTTCAAGTGTGTGCAGTGGTAGGAAGTATTCCAGCCTCCCTTACTTGATGGTGAGTAGTGAGGTGAGCGGCAATGAACTGCCCCAAACTATCCGGAAAGGTGAGTGACATGATGCCCACTGTTAACAGTAGGGGAAACAGCAGCCGGCTGGAGGCAAAGAAAGATGGGGTAAAGCGCCAAGTCAGGGCAATGAAGCTCGGAAGCAGGATGAGGAGAGCTTGTAATGTGGTGAATACCTACCTGATGGTGCGTTGACTGGTGGGAAGCTATGAACTGCCCCAGGAGAGGAGGAAACTGGATAGAGAGCATCAAGAGCGTCACCAAGACGGGATACGCGAATCGGCTGATAGATAAAAACACAGATGCCTGAATTCACCTCTCACAGGGTGCTTCAGGAGGGATGGCATGGAGGGGGAAAGGAGAGGGACGGAGAAGACTGTTGAGAGGGACCTGGAGAAGGTGGGTGAGGCAGAGTAGAGCAGGCACAGAAATAATAGAGGTTCTGGCCCATGATCAGTATAATAGTCATGATGAATGGCGATGACAGAACTTAAAAAGTGTATAAAAAATGTATGATAAAGTAATGAAATATAAAAAGACTTGTTGGTTATGGTGTGAGCATGATAACTCTCATGCATTATGCTGAAATGCACTGAAGATGATACTGTTACATTTAACAGTATTTTAATCACATATTTTATCAGAAAAAGAATCACTGCAAGCAGTTGGAATAATAATCCTTATTAATAAACTATACACTCATATAGTTAATGTAGAATTGGTTAAAGGAACAGAAACATTTAGAAATACTTAAAATGTGTACAGTACAAATGTTCACAGAATGTGAACATCAGTTGGCATTTGACTTACCTGAAGTTTGGAAGACTAGGATGATACCAAAGACCTTAGAAGAAAGTGAGGGCGATATCAACTTACCTTGTACAGTACTGAAAGACAGTAACTCATGTGGCTCCTCAGTGAACATGGAACTCTCAAATTAAGAGCATAGAAGAATGATAATTAAAATATATGTTAAAGCTTTCTAGCTCATAAACAAGAACACTTAGAGTAATATACAGTAGAGTGACTGTGTTAACGTACATGCTGGATGGACTCACCTGTTGATGGTTGCTGAGGTCAGTGCCCCAGAACTGTCCAAGGCCGAGGGGGAAGGACAGGGACCCGTAAATTATGGTGACGAAGAGAGGGTACAACAGGCGACTGTCAGGGGATAAAAAACAGGTAGGGGACACATGAAGGGGAACCTCATGCAGGAATCCAAATTCAGGAGGATGAGTTCTGAGTGCTAATTCAATTGGACAGGTTCAATCAACTGAGATTTTTCACATGTTATGAAAAAAATTCAACATACAGTAGAAATCCACTTTAATGACACCATCAATGACAAACTTCCCCTTCTGAACAATATTTCCACAGACAAACAATCTTTCCACTGTACTTAATACATACCTCTTTTTTAATAACCCTCAAAATGACAAGCAAATCCATATTTCAATAAATTTACGGTAGTATATTATAACAACAATATTCGATTGACTATATTCAAACTGGAGGAGTAACAGTTTAGTTCAAATTATCTAATTAGATTTTAAGTGAGATATTCATTTATTGATTGAGTATCGTGTGAATGATAGAGAGTTGTCACATATTTGGAGTGACGACTGTGAGGAAGATGTTGTTTTGTTGCCAGGGTAAGAAATGAAGCAGTTACATTATCATCATCATCAATGTTTTGTGGCCATTTTCCATGCTTGCATGGTTTAGCCGCAGTTACCTGAGGGCAGCACTCGCTGTCTCTCTTTTTTTTTATTTTATCCTCTTCACCACTGATCGGCTCGTTAGCCGCTTGGGCCATCGGTCACGTCTTTGATTACTTTTCCTTTTCTTTTATCCTCTTCACCAAAAGATCGGCTCGATAGCCACCCGGGCGATCGGTCACATCTCTGTTACGCACTGTTGGCAAGTACTGGGCATGCACTGGCTCCTGATTGTACCTGAACCCGCTCAATGTTGGTCAAGTCTGGTCTTGAAAGAGCTCACACTCGGTGCCGTCACAACCCTTTCTGGTGGATTGTTCCAAGAGTTCACAACTCTCACTCCGAAAAAGTTTGCCCTCACAGTTTTCTGGACTTGCGGCTTCTTCAATCTTGAGCTGTGACCCGTTGTGGGGCGAGCGTCCGCCAGCTCCAAGTAAGGACACTCAACTGAGTAGTGCACCTTGAGATGCTTATACACCTCAACCAGGTCACCCCTTGCCCGTCTGTAGTATAAGCTAAGCAAGTTCAGGCGCTCCAATCTCTCAGGGTAGCTGAGGTGCCGAAGGGCAGGCACCAGTCTGGTGGCCCTCCTTTGAACATTTTCAACCAACTGACAGTCCCTAGCATATCTCAGGACCAGAAGGGGTGACAGTACTCCAGATGAGGAAGCACTTCACTCTTGAAGATCATTACAAGGGACGGACCGCTTAAATATCTGAACGACCTCCTTAAAAGACCCAATAATTTATTTGCCTGATTTACCTTCTTCTCACAATGGCCCGAGAACTTCAGCTCATTGTCAACATACACACCTAGGTCCTTCTCACATTCAGTCTCAATGCAGTTTCCTCATCCCGTTGGGACATATGATATACCTCCTTACTGTTGGTACTCCCCAGGTGCATCCTCTTACACTTCGTGACATTGAATCTCAGCAGCCATTTCTTCGACCATTGTTGGAGCTCACAGAGGTCCTTCTGAAGCTCTTCACAGTCTGCTTGGTTCTTGATTTCCCGAAATAACTTGGCGTCATCGGCAAACATTTGTATGGAGAAGTGTACAACGTCAGGCATGTCATTTATGAAACAAACAAACAACAGCGGGCCCAATACACTGCCCTGTGGTACCCCGCTTGTGACAAGTACGGATGATGATTTCGTGCCATTAATCACCACACACACTGCTCGCGGTCATGTAGAAAGTCTTCTATCCACGCGAGGGCATTTTCCCGAATTCCGTACCCTTCCAGTTTGATTTTCAGCCTTTCGTGGGGTACACTGTTGAAAGCCTTGGCAAAATCTAGGTAAATATTGTCGATATTACCAGCCCATTCCAGAATATGGGTCCAAATATTCAATACCTTGAGCAATTGTGTTAAGCAGGAGTGCCCCGGTATAAAACCGTGTTGGCAATCCTTTACAAGGTTGTTTCGTAGTAGCTGTTCCATCGCGGCATCTCTAATAATACTTTCAAGTACTTTACATATTATGCTGGTCAGGCTCACCGGTCTATAGTTGTTCGTGAAGTGACGATCGCCCTTCTTGAAGATGGGACTCACATAAGCCACTTTCCATTCACTGGGGACCTTTTGTTCATCCAGGCATTTACAAAACAGGATCTTCAGGTGGCTCGGCAAGCTCGTTGGACAACTCTCTTAGCACTCTATGATGCACCATGTCAGGGCCAGGACTCTTATGGACCTTTAGCTTTGACAGTTTATTTCCAATACCCTCTTCTGTGAACACAATGTGGGTCAGTGTTGTGTCGAACCGTCTGTCCTCAAACGCAGGAAGGTTAATCGCATCCTCTCTTGTGAACACTGAGGAAAAGAAGCTGTTCAATGCCTCAGCTTTATCCTGATCAGATCTGCGTAACTACCATCTTCAAGCCTCAAGTCTGATACTCCTACACGCGTTTTTAATTTCGACTTTGCATAGCGGTAAAATGCCTTTGGGTTTGACTTGACCTCGCTTGCAACCAGCCTCTGGCACTCCTTTTCAGCCCTTCTACATTCTATCTTTCCTTGGTTTCTGGCTCTTGCATACATCCTCCTGTCCTGCTCATCGTTTGACCCAACCCACGTCTTGAATTTCTGGGTTTTCTTCTTTACTTTGTTGACCGCCGCATGGTTCATGTATAGGGATCCCCTTGTATTCCTAGAGGCACTGGGTTTGGTCTTGGGTATATATTTATCGATCAAATGGGTCACTTTACTAGTTATGATATTCAGCGTAGTGGCTGCGTTCTTGTGCCTTAATGAGTCAGGCCAGTGGATACCCCTCATCTCTTCCCTCATCCCGTTGTAATTTCCCTTGTAATATTTGCACCTTGGCCTGGTCTTATCTTGAACTAGGTAACAGTTAAATCTGAATGACAACACTATATGGTGACTGGTGCCAACTGGGGCAAGGTGTTCCAGTTTGGCCACCATACCCTCCTCGTTTGTTATGATGAGGTCTAGTGACTTGGGTGTTTGCTCCTCTCTCTAATGTGTCGGGTCTCTTGTCTGGTTCCTAACTCTAATATCGTTTCTTACAATCTCGCCATATGCACTTCTTGGTCTGCCCCTGGCTCTCCTCCCCTCCACATTTAGGTTCATGCACCGTTCAACCCAATTGACCTCATCCACCTCTCCAATGCTTTCAATACCCAGCTGCCCTCTTAGCTCTGAACAGAGCCTCCTGTCTTTCAGAGTCACATTACACACCCACCTCACCATTCTCATTTCAGTTCACTTAAGACTACTTACAGGGGGGCCCCTAAAAACCGTGAATAACATTTTTACTTGTGTACAAAGAAATGTATACTGTATTTCCTTTGTGTTTGCCCTAAGTACAATTATTTCTTTTACTTGTAGTACTGTATTGTATATGTGTGGCCTGTTGCATGTCTTGGACAGCTTAAGATACTGCTGATACTAGGCCCCTGGATTCCTTCCATTCCTTTCACATTTACTCTGATCACCACAAACTCCAATTGAATTTGAAAATTATAATGCTGCATACATTTTATTCTGAATTAATACTACAGTTTACATTGTTACTTTGATGAATGATGATATATCATAATATGGAACTGAATGAAAAACTAAAGATATGATGTAAACCTATTTAGTATCTCTGTTATAATGATCTGATACCCTAAGAAATTTCACACAGTGAAGAGTTGCTTGTTGTTAATGAAGGGCATAATAAGCTCTGATGAAGATCATCTTGTATCAAGGACCAGTTTCCAGACACTTTTAGGGTCAGTCTTTAAAGAGAAGTTCTACTGCATATACCAAATGAATGCTTTGACAGTATTAAGCAACATGTATACCATCAGTCTAAATTTTTTCCTCAAAATCAGAATTCACAAAGCCATGAAACTGTGAACCCATCCATACAAGTTGCAGCTGAAGGCTTGCACACAAATTGTAAAATGCATGAATCTGCCAAAAGAAACAAATCATTAATCAAAATTTTGTTTAGTTGATCTTTTAATTTATCACACAAGAGACATACTTGTGCAACCAGCCTTAGGCATATGGATCCTTTGTGAGTGCAAGGGAGGGTAGGGGGGGGGGGAAGAGGGAGGGAGGGAGGGGATGGATTTAGGTGGGAGAGGGAAAAGAGATAGTTTAAATGAACTTCACTTATGAATGGTCCATATCATTTTGGGAGCAGAGTTATTAACTGTAAATGTGATATGAAAAATGAGATAAACTTAAAATGAATAATATCTTCAACAACATTGAAAACATGAAAAAAAAATCCCTCCGTTTAAAATAAGGAATATACTGTACTGTACACATGAAATATTATCCAAGTCATTAGTTAACCTGACTATCATGATATGCATTTAACTTCATCATATACTTGTACCATAGTTAATAAAATAATCCAATGCTACAGTAAAAGTCCAAAAATCCGGATGCCAGAAATCCGGACCACCCGAGAATCCGGACTTTTCGAAAACTTTCAAAGTTTTTAAATTTAGCGGGCTTTTGTGGGTTACGTGAATGAATGGAGTTCCTTTAAAAAATTAAGTTGCCTAATTCTAATAATAAAAGTAATTGTAAATTATAGGCAGCTAATTTTGTTAGTTTTGTAATTAGCTTGTCCTGAAATGTAAAATTTGAGGCACTATAAATCTTTTGTGTGTATATGTGCATGCAGGAACACCACAGCGACAACAAGCGACCATGCGATCGCCACTTTAAAACAAGCAATCAAACTGTGACAACATATGTAATTTTGAGTCCTACTCTTTCCATTTACAGAGTACAAGCCCATAATAATGGCTCCTAAAGTAGATAAACTTCGTTGTATGAAGAGAAAGAACACATTGAAATTGAGTGACAAACTTGAAATAATTAAGAAACTAGAACGTGGTTTGAGCAATACTGTTCTAATGGAAACATACGACATTGGAAAGTCTACAATTTATGATATAAAAAAGGCAAAGAATAAAATTCAAGAATTCACAGCTTCTGAGCCTTACATTAAAATTGCTGAAAGAAAAAGTTTACATCGGCCCAAATTAGAAAATCTTGATAAAGTGTTGCACGAATGGTTTTTGTTAAAATGATCAGAAGGTATGGCAATTTCTGGGCCGATGCTTATTGCCAAAGCAAAGTCTTTTAAGGAGCAAATGAACATTGAATCAGAGTGCGCATTTAGTGATGGATGGCTTAGGAATTTCAAGACTCGTCATGGTATTAGACAGTTTGTTTATATTTTTGTCAAGTGTTGACTTTATTTTTCTTTAAAACTGCTTGTTTTGATAAATGAAGCATGCTATATTTGCTAATGAATAAACTATTAAAATGTATCTGTTTATCTCTTCTTTATTCCTCCTTAAATTTGAATTTTAAAAGTACTGCGTGAGAATCCGGAAAATCCGAAAATCCAGACCGACCCAATCCCCAAGCAGTCCGGATTTTTGGACTTCTACTGTAGTATATAGTACAGTATACAATATACTGAAAAAAAAATCATAAAAATTTTTACAATATGATTAAAATTTCTTGCACATGCCAAGCACCATATCAATATTACTAAATATGGAATTTTTTAATAACAAATCTTGAAGAACCATGCATCTGTAGTGGGGTATTTATCTGCCAACAGACATCCTCTACTTGTGACATAGTTAGATAACACAAAACTATACTACAGACAATTATGAAAATGCAATGTGTAAATAACAGAAGATCATGGTGAAAGTGCTCTATGGTGGAATCAACGGCCGTGAGAGTGAATGAAGGCTGAGTCTTTGTTTGTCCTTTGTTCTGACCACCATGCAGCACATGGAGAGGGCTTGCAAAATTGAAAACCAAAAGAGATTACACTGACTAAAATAATTTGAAGAATTATGTACAGTACAGTATCAAATTACACAAAAGTAAGTAAGGGAATTCTTTTTTATACAATTCAAATGTTCTTGACTGATATACTGTATTAGAAAATGGGCCAAATAGAAGAAAAAGGTGGATGTAGACTTGTAAGGGCATAAAAACAGTGTGATGCTTCTTCAGGAAACTACTCTAGTGAACATGACAAGAGAACGAGTGTCTTTACACCAGTGAAGGTTCCAAGTGCACTCTGGAGTCAGGCAGTGTGTGTATTGTGGAGTCAGGCAGTGTGTGTATTGTGGAGTCAGGCAGTGTGTGTACTGTGGAGTCAGGCAGTGTGTACTATGGAGTCAGGCAGTGTGTACTATGGAGTCAGGCAGTGTGTGTACTGTGGAGTCAGGCAGTGTGTGTACTGTGGAGTCAGGCAGTGTGTGTGGGTCTCAATGTTTTGGGATCACTAAAGTTTATGTTTAGTAGCACTTCAGTACAAAGATAATAAATATTAATAAATTAAATTGCTTCAATAAATGGCAACAAAATCTTCGTTGAAGTCTACATACGTTCTGGATAATCCACATCAGTAATCGTACAGTACAGGTATATCCTTCTGTTTATTCAGCACCAGGTAATTAGTATAGTATGCTTGTATTAATCCTGTTGCTGCTGACTTGATCAACTTGTGACTAAAATGTTCAGACTACAGTACAGTGCAAATTGCCATTAGGCTTTAAAGAAATAAATTAAAAACTTATAAAGAGCCTTTCATAAAACCAGTCTATGATACATCTGTGTCAAATTTCAAGTGAAGGAAATATGAGTTGAAGGATAATGATGGATGGATGATGATGATAATCAATGATGGACCTTGTCATAGGCCCAGCAGCTGAGCTAACAACTCGCCATTAGTGCCCTTATACTGATCATTTTTCTTTCTTTTTTTAATAAATTTGATGATACAAAAATGAATACAGTACAGTATTAATACAGTGAATACATAAACACTGTGTAGAAGAATTAATACCCAAGTGACATACAATACTCACAAAGACTACCATTGCACAACATAGAAACAAAACTAAGCTTAAATTTGATACAGCAAATGGCTTTAAGTTGTAGAAAGTTACCGGTAAGAGGCAATGGACATGCCAAATGAAGGACATTAGCTCAGCCAGCTGGGGTAATACAACAGAAATTCCAATGCTGATCTGTGTAAACAGCAAAATAAGCTTAGCATTAACAAAAATATGTAAATACTGAATACCTTTTTTGAAGAAAGGCTTTCATTTTCTTGTTCCTTCGCATGAAGATGACATACTGTCGATGCACCCATACAAACAGTGCACCCAGGAACCCGCACATTACCCTGCCAAGAATGGTTAATGAGCATGTTAAGATACAACACTATACTACTGTACTGGGAATTCTAATCACTATGATATAAGGTAGGAATTGTTTGAAACTTATTAAATTTAGGATATCAGAATGGACTTGTAAGGAAATCAGGAAACAGGAATTAGAGTTGGACAGATGATGATCGCAAGAACTTGAGATCAACAGTAAACTACCGAAGGCCCCAAGTAGTTATATACCGGGTATGTATAATTGTGCAATAGCGAAAGTCCTAGGCAAGAGTGGTGACTGGTGAAGACCCACGGAACTCATCCCTGTCAATTTTCTGATACTGTAATCCAGTATAAAGGATCTCAATAGATGAGGCAGCAATATGAATGAGGGTGGGAGTGGGAAGAAGTGCCTCCTATCCGGGAATGCCAAATATTAAAATACAGATCTAATTTTACAGCCATTTAGGAACCTCTTTGTTGAGAGATCATCTGAGTGGTGGCAGTACAACACCTTGGAAAAAACAATGAAAAACAGCACAAATTTTGTAATATTGAGCAGGTTATTTCAAGTTTCTGCCAATCTTCCTAGATGTATTTGAAGGGTTTATATAACTGGAAGTTTTGAAAATATTTTGAAACTAGAAATTTGGTTCAGCATTTAACTTTTTCGCCTCTCACTTATTTGATATTGGGAGAAGATAACCTTCAACACCAAGTTGTTTATGAAAAAAAAAATTGTGAGAATTACAAGTTAGGTGGCGAAGATATATGAGCAGACTAGAAAGGTTACTGAGGTAGAGTGATGAGGGTAAACTAAAGAGAGGAGAAGAATACATCCTGATGATATAAGGGACTACAGTGTAAAATATTATTTACTTACAGAGGTTTGACAAGAACGTGAAAAAAAAGTTGAATGAACTGTAAAATGTTTTTAAGTTCTGAAGATACAAAAATTTCTCCAACCTGAAGACTGAACAAAATTTTTGGAAAATTGCAAAGAAGCAACCAAGTTCACAAGATTTTGATAAAGATGAACAAGCACATCAAACAAACTACAGTACAGTATTAAGATAAAAAAGTATGAGTGTTAATTCATAACTGGCTATATGTGGCTATACTAGCAGGTTCAATGTATTAATATGTGGATTAAAACAGCTTTTGACGTAAAAATTTTAACTAGTTTTTAAGGAAGATTTAGTAAAGGTTCCCACAGTAAATCTGTTAAAGGAGATCATGATGGATATAAAGGTCTATTTCACTATGAGTTATTTAGTACATATTAACTTGGACAGGTTCTTTAAAGGAATTCCAAGATGCTTGTTGTGACCATCTTCTCAGTCTATGGATGAAGTTCTTCACTGTAAATGTAAAATTGGAATAGTTTTGAAGATCAAAAGTCAGAGGAATAAGATGCCAGTAACAACAACACCCTGGCAACTGTCCCTGGTTTGGCAGCTTAATAATCCAAGAAAATCATAATTTTTCCCGTACACTGCTGCTACAAGATCTTCTGTGCAGTGGCTTAGTGGGCTAGACTTCTTCTGGAGGCACCATAGTATTGTGTAACAGTCACAAGATCTTTACTGCAGAACTCTTGACTCAGACATGTACCCAATAGGAGGGAGCAGCTCCACTTCTAGGAGTCCAAGGAAAGGGGTGAGAATCTGCTCTAGAAAGATGAATACCCAGGATACCCAGGAACTATGTTGTAGAGAGCAGTTATACTCACACTTGAGGACTGGCCTCAAGGATTTTCCTATTTCTTGTGCACTATACGATCACATGACCTGACCACCATGAATAAGCAACTGGTACAATAAATATTGTTTAATCAAACATTCCCAAAACACAACACAGAAATCATATCATCTAGCCGTCAGAAACAGGCCATGACTCCCTTAGGCCTAATGTAAGAACAGTGTCATGAAGTGTTTACCCACTAGAAGCCACAAAACTAAAAATATAAATATTGTAAATGGAATTATCACATTTTGGCAAAAGTTACTTAACAAGGAGCATTTTACTAAGTTGTAAATATCTTCATAAATGTCGGTAGTCTAAAACAGGATCTATTAAGCAGTCTTACAAATTGTACCACAAAAAGTTTGATCGGTAAGAAACCAAATGTTTAAAGTGTAGTTTGTGTGTGTGTCAGTAGCTGGGACAATAGCCAACCCCCCCCCCCCTCCCATCAAAAAAACCCCAAAAAACACTTGTCTTTACACAGCAAGGTTGGAGTAATTGTACTTGTAATTTAAATAAAAGTAATTACAGTCAACCCTCGCTTTACGCGGTCCCACATTCCGCGTTTCCACGTTTACGCGGTACCCTGCCGAAACCGGAATGCTCACATTCCGCGGTGCGTGTACCCCTTTACGCGGAGAGTGTCTGGCTCGACGCTATTTTTAGATTTGCCCCTCCCGACTGCTCCCGCCTCCGCCTGGGCATGCCGCGCGGTAAGGTTGCGCAGTGCATGTCTCTGTTGTGTTATCAGTGACGTCATATGACGTATCGGACTGTGATTGGCCATGCATCCCTACCTCCCTCCGCTGCTAGCTGTAATTGGTTTAAAGTAATATGATGCGTCCACCCGGAGGAGGGAGGGAGGGAGGAAAGACGATGCTTGACCTAGCCGCGGCAGTTTCATCCCTCCAGGCCACACCGTGTAATCGTGCATTCATTGTTCTGTAAAATGGCTTCCGCCGGACCACCGCCCCCAGAGAGAAACCTTTCCTTACCTGGACCCAGCCGCCCTAAGCCAAAGAAGACACGACGTTCCTTAAGCTACGAGGTGAAGTACAAGATCATCCAAGAGTTGGAGAAAGGAACAAGACAGGTTGATTTGGCGCGCCAGCATGGTGTGAACGAATCTACGATCCGGACGATAAAGAAGGATGCAGCCAAGATAAAGGAGCACATGAACATCACAAAGTCTACAGGTGCTTCTATGATCAAGTATTTCCACAACCAGGTGCTTCTCAAGACGGAAAAATTACTTGTGAGCTACTTGGTGCATCAGGCGCGACGGAACATGGCGGTGGACACGCGCTCTGTTAAGGAGTACGCACGTGAACTGTATGCTGCAGTGTCACGAAAGATGGGAATTACAGAGCCCAAACCCTTTAATGCTTCCTCTGGGTGGTTACAGAGGTTTAAGAAGAGGAACAAGATCACCAATATCAACATTGGTGGTGAAGAAGCTAGTGCTGACCGTGTTGCGGCTAGGGAATTTCCTCCGTTTTTACGTGAGATTATGGAGGAAGGACAGTACACCGACGACCAGGTGTTTAACATGGACGAATCTGGTCTTTTTTGGAAAAAGCTACCTTCCAAGACCTTCGTTGTGAAGAATGCCAGCAAGATTCGGGGCCGGAAGTTGCAGAAGGAGCGCATCACCGTCCTGTTTACCACCAATGCCTCCGGTACCTGTAAGCTCAAGTTATCGGTGATCCACACAGCACGCAAGCCGCACGCCTACAAGAACATGGACATGACCAAGCTAAATGTCCACTGGCTGACCGCACGTAAGGCGTGGATGTTCTCTACTCTGTCCCTCTCCTGGTTTGATGACTGTTTCGTTCCTGACGTGAAGAAATTCTGTGAGCAACAGAATGTTCCATTCAAGATTTTGTTGCTGCTTGACAACGCACCAGGACACTCGCCCCTACTGTTAGATCGTCACCCCAACGTAAAAGTGGTCTTCCTTCTTCCCAACACTACATCATTAATACAGCCTATGGACCAAGAATTGATCTGTAATGTGAAAGCTGCATTCTCTGCAAAGAAATTTAAGCTCCTGAACGACTACATCAACACCAAGGATGAGTTGCGTAACCTGGGTGGCACCGATAGCAAGAGCGAAGACGACGAGGAACAACAGTTGGCAGAGCAAGAAGTACTTGTGAAACAATTTTGGAGAAATTTCAACATCAAGAAAGCTGTGGACTTCTTGGTGGAGGCATGGGATCAGCTGTCTGTAGCAACGGTTCGTCATGCATGGAGACATGTGTTGCAAGGTATTCCAGGTGGGAGGCAGAGTCAATCTGTGACTGGTGAGGTTCAGACTGTTGCAGTAGCAGTGGACCTTGCCAGAGAAGCTGCGCAGAGTGTTACAGCTGCAGGCTTCTCCGAGACCACCAACGACGACATCCTGGAGGTGATAAGGGATCCTGATGTGACTGCCGACGAGATGCTAGATGATGATGACGTCAGTGAAGAGGCAGGTGGTGCGTCATCCCAAGAAGAACGCAAGTTATCCCATAGTAATGTAAGGGGTGCCATCGAGTGTGTTGAGAAACTCAAGCTCCTCCTTTCCGACGACCCTGACGATAACCGGTATGAAGTCTTCACTACCCAGCTGTTGCAGACTATGGAGCCCTACATCAAGGTGTATCACGACAACATCAACACCAGCCGTCAGCAAAGCATTACCGAGTTCTTCGCCCGCAACCCACCACAGCCAGCCCAAGCCAGTGATAGTGACAGAGACAGAGACAATGATGGTGACTTTGAGGGATTTGTCAGGGAGGCACTAATAAGTGTGGATGACAGGATGAAGACTCACCTGAGGGCCAGTAGCCTGCCCTCTGCCTCGGAACCAGCCTCCATTCCCCTACGCCGACCCATCTCTTCTACTAACGTAAGTGTTAACCCAACCTTGTTTTTTTCTAGCCTAACTCTATATATTATGTGTGGGCGAATACCATCATAAAGTTTAGATGTTATTTTTAGTAAAACGTACGTATTGTGTCGGGAAAAAGTGGAGTTTGGGGGTCGGCCCGGTCTCTATTTCAATTAATCCCATATGTTATGTTGTTCACTTTAAGCAGGCCGCCGTGGGTTGAATTAACCGCGTAAAGTGAGGGTTCACTGTGTATAGATATATATATATATATATATATATATATATATATATATCTTGATAAAATCAGTTGCCTCTGAAGATGTCTTGAATAAAGATGAAAGCTAAGGTACTCCGTTGTTTCCATTTTCCCGTGTGATTTTATCAAGATTAATCTTATCCACGTTTTCATTGTGGATTGACATGAAATATATATATATATATATATATATATATATATATATATATATATATATATATATATATATATATATATATATATATATATATATATATATACCCGGTAAATATAGCAGTCCCTCAGTTCACGAGCACAATTCATTCCAGAAGGTTGCTCGTTAACCGAAAAATTCGTTAACCGAAACCATTGTTTCAATGGGTTTTTGGGTAATTGGTTCCAGCTCACCGAAAATTGCCTATAGTCAAGAAAAAAGGTAGTAAAGTACACTTACTTTGAGGTGTGTATGTAGAAGGCTCCTGGATGATGATGCTGATGTGAATTTGAAGTGGGAGGAGGAGGAAGAGAAGGAAGTGGGAGGTGGAGGAGAAGCATTTTACTGTTTCTTGGAAGGTGAGTCACCTTCCATGAAAATGTCAGGAACCTCTGGACTGACAGATTCTCCAGCAGGAACATCCTCTCTCATTCTTGAAGTGGAAGGCTGAGGGCTAGCATCTTGTTCCTGCTGCCTTTTAGTGAAGAAACTGTCAATTTTTGTCTGCGGGCCATCTCTCCTACTCATCATTAACTGATGTTTGAAGAAGGAGACCACTGTGTCCTCAACATGACACAAAGCTAGTTCACATCTGGGTGCCTTGAAGCCAGTTTCCTGAACTTCTCCCAGTGGTCAACAACATCTTTCAACTCTGAAGTTGACATATGGTCATCACTTTCCCTTTCCTCCTCACCACTGTCAGCCTCTAACATCTCATCCAGTTGCTGCAAGTTTTCAGGAGTAAGTTCGTGCTCATGAGACATCCTTCTCTTCCACTTCAAGGCCCAATGACTGACCAATGGACACAATCTCCTGGTCCAACTCTGCTTCTTCCTGAAATCCCTCAAAATCATGGACTACTGATGGCCACAGTGCTTTCCATGAAGAATTGAGGGATCTAGTGGAGACTTCTTGCCATGAGGACACAATCAATTTTACAGCCTCAGGATGTTAAACTGAGTCTTCCAGAACTGGGCCAATGTTAGATCAGGATCAGTGGTAGTTGCCTGATGACACCTCCTGAACATTTTCTTCATGTACAGCTTCTTAAAGTTGCTGATCACATTCTGGTCCATTGGCTGTATGATTGATGTAGTGTTGGGAGGCAAAAACAACACTTTCACAAAATCAAATTGAGACTCCAAAGTGCTGGCAAGTTGAGGGTCATGACCAGGAGCATTATCCATAAGGAGAAGAGCCTTTAAAGGGAGTTTATTGCTGGTTTGGTAGCTCTTCACAGAAGGGCAAAACAACTCAACAGCCCATTCATTAAAGAGCTGTCTTGCTACCCATGCCTTACGGTTGGACTTCCAATAAACTCCAAGCCGACCTCTTACCACTTTCTGTTGCTTGAACACCCTGGGGTTCTCAGAGTGGTAGACAAGCATAGGCTTCAGTCGGAAATCCCCTGAAGCATTGGCACCAAGCAATAGAGTGAGATAGTCTTTCATGGGTTTATGCCCAGGTAAAGAGGCTTCATCTCTGGTGATGAATGTACTGGTAGTGGTGGTACTGTGGGAGGTGCATACTGGTAGTGGTGGTACTGTTGGAGGTGCTTACTGGTAGTGGTGGTATCAGATTCCCAGGGGTTCAGCTTCTTCGTCACCTCCCCCTCCTTGGCCTCAAGTCTAAAACTAACTCAAGTTTCACCTACGACTTGGGGCACCCTTCAAGGCTGTTCACATCACTACTGTTGTTTTACACTGACTGCACCAAGGGAGGACCACCTAACCTATATTCAAGCTAGATTTGCCTTGGGACACATCAGAACATTTAGGAGTAAACCCAGAGCGTCAGTCACGAGGGCCTGGCGTCACATATTACACAGTCTGGATATGTGTGATAGTCAATTAGGTTTTTACGACAAGCTGATATAGATACAACTATCCGATATAGAATAACACAGTACTGGCTAACCCTTATATATCAAACACACATTCTTACATCAGGATCAATTACATGCAAAAGTATTTCATAAGTTATCAAAAAGGATTATATTTTTGAATTCTTATTCAGTCTTGCAGCCATGTTACAGCTTTTCCTCTTATGGGCGTAGGGCAGAATCAAATTCGCCCGCAAATGGTCCACGACACACCCGAAGACCATGATAAATGTAGTTCAATGTTGTGAGTGAGTGTGAGTTACCAGCAGTTCTAAGGCAATGTGTGACAGGAGAGCGTATTGCTGTGGAAGCAGCCGAGAGTGAAATATCTCTGTACAGTATTTCTTTTACAGGCTACTTGACGAAAATTTGCTAAGTTGATAGAGTCACTATGGTAACCAACATTCAAAGCCACCAATAGCACCACTCATATGCTCTGGAAGGGGCTACATAAATAACAATCAAAAGATATCCGCATTTTGGATCCTATAATCAATTCTTATATATACAGCTATCTTGAAAGATAACAAAAGACATAAATTGTAAAGGAGACTAAAAGTAAGAAACATAAGGATACAAGTTTTCATACAGAACTCATATCAAGTTATGAAACACAAGGGAGAGAGAGTAACGTTTTGTGTCGAGAAGACCTTCCGCTTACCCAATGAGAGCAAAGACGAACAACTCCTGTGGATCGAACGGGTACTCGACCTTGAAGTTGGTTTTGAAGAGAGCAGTCAAGGTCTCTGGGAATAAGAACAAGAACATAACATCAACACAGGGTATCATCATCATACATCTGCCTATAGGATTAAGTGTCGACAGGACAAAGACCAGGCAACGACGTGAACCTCCGCCATGTTTATCGAAGACGCTGGAAGAGGAAATGTTGAACCTCATTTGTAGATGAATTCTGTTGTGGTGCAACAACCAGGAGGAGTTCTATGGCAGGGAGGTGAGGGAGAGTAAGCTGCAGTCACGTTGGCCCGTGCTAGAGGATGCTCAGGGAGAAAAAGGAAGGTAATATGAAGAACAGTGGATGAAAAGAAAATGAGAGAAAAATAGAGAAGTAGCCTGCAGGATGCTGGTGCAAGGAGTCATCTACTACTGCTAAGGGCATCCCCTGCAGGGACCTAGCGACCCTGGGAGCAACAGCAGGAGCAGGATTCTACTAGGCCACCCTCAAAATGCGTCATTAATAGTAAGACCGAAAAGAAAACCATGTATACTTCCAAAAACAGCAAAAGTTCGTATTATTTACCACAAGCTCTTAAAAAAAAATTACAAATGAACATGTGACTGAATTTTGCCAAGGGCAGCAGCTAGTTTACAATGAATGGTAGCAGAGCAAAGGTCACAAAGGTCGTGATATATATATATATATATATATATATATATATATATATATATATATATATATATATATATATATATATATATATATATATATATATATATATATATATATATATATATATATAATGACCTAGTTGTTTTATTTTCTTTCTGCTGTTTTGGGAAGCACACTTTTGTTTTAGGTCTGAGAGAGAAGTGTTAGTTGTGTCTGGGCAGGACCTGGCAGGTGGTAGACACCACCTTACCCGAGGAGAGCGAAGACAAACAGCTCCTGAGGGTCGAATGGAATGTCCACTTTAAAGGAGGTCGTGAAGAGCGGAGTCAGCGTGGCTGAGGAAACAGAGACAACACTAGAGCAGGAACATGTCTTAATTGAGATAGGTTCTAATCACCTTAACTAATGAAGATTAGTGAAGATGAAAGAAGACTCAAAAGGCGCTGCTAGTTTAGTCCACAACTCTTACAGTGACTGAAGGATAAGTTGTTCATACATTCATGTAAGGTATGTACATTTGTTATACCATTTGTAGGTGAAGGTAATTAAAGATGAAGTTTTAACATGAGATAAGAAGACCTCCACTAACAGAAGGACACGACACACCTATACAGTATACTCTATATGTTTTTAGAAATGAATACTGATTCAAACAATCTGAACACTTATTATAATTTACAAGAGGTTATGTAATTGTAATGATACAGTATAAGGCGAAGTATGCAACAAAAACCCTATAGTCTATTGTTAATATTGAGACAAACCTGCAAGAAACATATTTACTAATCAACACTTCTACAATAATGTTATCAAAACAAATAAATCATCCAGACTTTAATTTAGCCAAAATCTTCAGTGTCGACTTTAATATTTTTTCTAGAAAACCTAAAGGATCCAACACATTTCTTTTATTATCAATTAGTGTGAAACATTTAATTAATAACATGCTAGTACAGTATTAAAGTTAATTTCCCTGCTCTGGATACAGTAAGTCAAAAGGGCCCCCATCATCCTCTTGTTGGCTTCGGTGGTGCTGTGTGGTGGAGCTGCCTTAATTGTGTGATCCCCTGACTATGGACCAATATGTATCCCACCACAGCAAGGAGGTTGAGAGTTGTTCATGTCCGAGACTGAAGTTTTGTTGTAATTTTGAGTTAGTCATTTTTCCTAACTCACTGTTTCTGTCTGTCTGTCTCTTTCTCAGCAGTTCACGATATATTTATCATAACCCAACTCGATACTGAGAGAGAGACGAAATGTTATCTCCCATCAGAGAGAGATGACCCGCATTGATCACACACACACACACACACACACACACACACACACACACACACACACACACACACACACACACACACACACACACACACACACACACACACACACACACACACACACACACACACACACACACACACACACACACACACTGCTATACTCCAAGTAACACATGCAGGAAAATACAAGTGCATTACCTTCGTCGTTGAACCAAACCGCCAGCAGTCTGAACACCATAGCGCCACATACGGCTGCGAAGAACCCCCGCCAGTAGTTTCTGACGGCGAAGTACACGCTGGTGACCTCGATGCTGAATAACACTCCTGTGAGGGGGGGTGGAGGGGATACCAAAGGCTATTACTGGTTCGGGGAAAAACCTGAAAACGTGTATTAGTACTGAAAAAGTTCAACAGAAAGGAGAGGCGTGGGAGAGCGAAGGGGAGGAGGGGGGGGGGAATGAGAACCCACTGTGAAGAGGAAGGTCACGAGTGTGGGGTTTCAACCTGTGTGATGATGACGATACGAGACAGTGGACCGCCTGGAATGATGAAGCAGAATGATGAAAAAGAGGATAATGACTGAAGAATAGAAGGAAGGATGATGACTGAAAAATAGAAGAATAATGACTGAAGAACAAAAGGGAGGAAAATGACTAAAGAACAAGAGGGGATAATGAATGAAGAACAAAAGGGAGGATAATGACTAAAGGACAGAAGAGAGGATAATGACTGAAGAACAGAAGAGAGGATAATGACTGAAGAACAAAAGGGAGGATAATGAATGAAGAACAAAAGGGAGGATAATGAATGAAGAACAAAAGGGAGGATAATGACTGAAGAACAAAAGGGGGATAATGAATGAAGAACAAAAGGGAGGATAATGAATGAAGAACAAAAGGGAGGATAATCAATGAAGAATAGAAGAAAGGGTCAGGATGAATGAGTTGGGTTACCTTGGGTCAGTGTTCACATAAGAGACACTGGATAATACGCCTCAGGGTTGGAAAATTAATTAAGACAGATAGCAATTACAGACAATATCATGAAAAAGAAAATAACTAGTTTAAAGAATTCAAAACTCACGGTGTGGACAGATCACATTCCAAGGTGATAAAGGAGGTGACAACTGTGATTTGTACTCCACTTACACTCCTATTGAGCTAGTCTCTGGATCAAGGAAAAGCACCTAGGGTCTGGAAATCAGCTAAAGTCAGGGTAGAAAAGGTGCAGCAGAAAACTACAGGCTGATCAGTCTACCATCCCATATTGGTAAACTTGTTGATAAAATTGTGAGGGACGTTATCATCCAACACCTGACCGAGCACAGTCTTATCAATGCATCACAACACGGTTTCATGGAAAGAAAATCCTGCCTGACAAGCTTAGTCAATTTCCTTGAAATGGCAAGAGACTATGTCGACCACGGCTTACCGAATCCATGAAAAAGCCTAACCTAACCGAAACAAAAGTGTTATATTTTATATTTTAGATATGAGACTGGGGTTTGGTCCGTTGGGGTTTTATCCGGTCACCCGGCTTACCAGTGGGTGTGTTGTACAAGGAGTTTTTTTAAGGCGTTTGGCAAAGTCCCACATGCACGAATATACTGTAGCTTCTCGACCCAAGCACATGGTATAAATGAGGTACATTCTGAATGGAAAGTTCTCAGTGGAGTACTTTAAGGGTCTATCCCTGGATCCACCCCGTTTGTGATCTACAGAAACAACATAGCCGAAAATATGTTGATCCATATTGTTAAGTTTGTGGAGGAAACAAAGATATTTGTGAAGGTAAGCAAGTCAAGACGATGAGGTAACAATGCAGAAAGACCTGCATGAGGAGTTCCAATGGTCTCAACACTGGCAAATGTTCTTTAACATTACAAAATGCAAGACTGCACGTAGGATACAACAACTCTAATCACAACTATTCTGTTAATAACACTTTCCTCGATACTGTTGATAAGGAGAAAGAGCTTGGCGGTGTGAGAGATCATTCACTGAGGGCGGCACAACAAGTGAGAGCAGCAGTGAGGAAAACAAGCCGAGGTTTGGGAATTATAAAGCGAACCTTCGAATACAAAGACAGGAAAATGCTCCTTCAAGTTTATAAACCTCAAGTACATCCCAGTCTGGATTACTGCTTACAGGCATGGAAACCTTACCTCCAGAAAAACCTAACATCCCTAGAAAAGATGATTCCGGAACTATGACATCTCGATTATTCCAGTAGAGTCGTAGACTGAGATATTTAGGATACTTAGAACTACCAACCCTTCAGACAAGACACACTAGGGCAGATCTCATTGAGACATTCACTGTCTAAAAACGACTGGAAAACGTGAACCCGAGCCATTTTTTTAGTGATGTTCCGCACCACCAACACGAGAGGACACAACTTCAAACTCGACAAGTTATCAAGCAGATCGAGCAGAAGGAAATACTGTACTTCTTCTCACAGAGGGTTGTAGATCTGTGGACCAGTCTACGATCAAGAACAGTAGAGGGATCCTACACAAGCCATTAGTCTCCTACCCTCAGTTCGACTACGTATAGTGAATTGCCATTAGATAAATAAGGTAGATAGGCAAAACGATTAACAATAACATGTGTGTGTGGAGGATTTGGACTGGACTCGGCTGAGGAAAACTTCCTGACGAAGCTCATAAGTGCCCCCTCCCCTCTGTGAACAAACTTGGCAACTACCACAACAACGAGCAACATTCTTGTTCAGGGTCAGTAATAAACACCACAAGACGTGCAACTCTCGCTTCTGCCAAAACTCTAAATCGCGTGGATAAAAAAAATTAAAAAAATTATGAGGAATTACAAACTTGTGTTGTGCCCAGAATCCCCCGAAGAACATCAATATTAATGTATTTTTCTTATAATTTAGGTAGTGTACATTCAGCAGTCCTGTATTTTGTCCAGTATTATCATGGAGTGAAGTACCAGCCCCTCACACTGATGGTCGCAACACAAGCAGTACCAACTTGAAGGTCTTGCTGCCTAATGATATCGTGCAGCTAAACAGCATCACATGCCACCTGCACACCTGATACTTGCATACCTCCCACCTGCCAAACATACAATACTGATTACGAATATTACTATGCCGGTAAACTCGGATAATATGAGTAATTAGAATTAGTAAGTTAATTCAGGCACTAAGCGAGGGTACTAATGGTGCTACTGTACTATATGTAGTATTTATTAAGTCCCCTTGAGGAAGTTACACAACACACAACTAAAACATAATCTTTACTACATTTACTTGTACATATACGAGTGTTCTTCCATGCGTCCGCTTTGGCCTACAGTACAAGTAAAGAATTTTTTTTTTAAGAGCCAAGAACGTCCATGATGCTGTGTTTACAAGTAGGTGTAATTTCCTCAAGGGGCTGTAAACACGAACATCATGGAACCTCGTAAACATACTGGGTTAAATTCACCAACGTTTACATTGCTCAGTAAAAGTTCATCCCTGCAACAAAAGCAGAGTAAAGTGTTATTGTGTCACTCTTCCCTGACGCGTCTACTTTACAGCAGCTCCCTCCCTCCCTCCCTTCTGCAGCAACAATGACTGGACGGTTTAGTTTACAGTTATCAACATATAGACAATAATCTCTGGCTCATTTAACTAACTTATATAAAAGTCCCTACCAAGAACCCTTTGATTAAAAACATTCCGTATCACTAACACCCTTCCAACTACATCTACAGGCGACGTACAGCCATGCAACTGCTCTTACAAACCCTCAACTACCCCAGAAAGTTGTACACACCAACAACAACTCTTCCAGCCACAAACTGCCCCTACAAGTCACTAACGATTGTTTAGAGTGACCTATCAGACTACTGGAGACGGCCGCCAATCAGCCAAGCTCATTATTGTACTCACCACCAATAGGCGCGGCGAAGGAGCAGGCAACGCCCACAGCACACGCCGCCGCTAACATCTCTGAGTTGCGGGACTCGTTCTCGTAAATCCCCTTGAAGGACGTCACGGCCTTGGACAGCAGAGTGGCCACGATACTCGCTATGTGCACGAACGGTCCCTGAAAGAGGAGGCGAGTGAGAGTACGTGGAAGAGAAGTAGGATGGAGTGGGAATGTAAGAGTACTGTACATGGAGTAGGAAGAACTGTACATGAAGGAGGAGGTAGAAGAAAACGACAAAACGAAATACGAAAATAAGTATAGGGATGAAGTTGAAAAGAGGAGGACGAACAGTTAGAAAAATAAACAAACGAAAAGAAGCAAGAAATACACAAACAACTTGTATTCAATAACAGGAAGCAGGACACACACACACACACACACACACACACACACACACACACACACACACACACACACACACACACATCTTATTATACAGTCATGTCCTCACAAGGAACCCCTGAGGAAGTCAAAGCTGATACGATACTGTTAAGAAACGGCTCTGTAATAAAAATAATAATTACTACTACTACTACTACTACTACTACTAATAATAATAATAATAATAATAATAATAATAATTAACGGTTTACTGAAAGAACATGGCAGCCAAAAGACTAAAAATATAGAAACATAATTGGGGAATGGGTCACTTGATTGACAAATAATATAAACTAACATAAGTGATACAAATATGATATATAATAAAGATGGGGGAAATTTCAGTATAGTAACAATAGTGTGTGTGTGTGTGTGTGTGTTGGGAAGATTTATACACAGAACTTCATCTCAACACAGTTTAAATTCAGGGATATACAGATGGCATGACACGAGTGACAGACTTTTAGGCGGTCCATAGACACTATAAACTTGTTTTTCAGACAGGCAGACAGACTCCAAAACCAGTATCGCGCCAACTTTGAGTTCTAAATTAACTTCTTCACTAAGACACACACACACGCAAGACGTTTATCACTTACCTCTTTGCCCAGGGGTAGACCAGACCCCAGCGTGGCGGTGAGACCTATCACTTTAGCTATAAGCGTCTTAAAGGTGAGGTATTCCTTCAGCACGACGCCCCTGAGGATCGTCTTCATCTCGGGGATCCCAGACCCTGTAGGGGGTGGACAGAAACCATACCTTCGTCAGTATCTATGACACATGGGCGGGGGAGGAGGAAGAGGAAGGAGGGAATCACCAGTCAGTTTTAGTGGGAGAGAGGGCGGGGGGAAGGGAGCAAGGGACTGATGCCAAACTGTAAACACTAAGATCCGCTCCACAGGTGAAGAATTACAAAAAGTAAAGGAGCAACAGAGCCAGCAGGATCAAACTCAGCTGCGCCTGGCGATCTCCACCACCCAGAGATGACAAGTTCCTGTTGGTAGGGAGACAAGTGATCCCACCAAGTAAGTACTGCGTGTAACTCTTGCAGGAGGCGAGGCAGTAGGGGGCGCGAGGGAGGGGGCGAGGCAGAAGGGAGAACTGGGAGGGAGTGAGGTAGTAGGGGGAGGGGGCGAGGAAATTAGGGAAGTGGAGAGGGGTGAGGCAGTAGGGGGAAGGGGAGATGACGAGGCAGCAAGGGGAGCGGGGAAGGCAGTTGGAAGAGAGGGGAGGAGAGGTGCCGAGCTACCCACAGAACAAGAAGACATCCTGGAGTGGCCACCTGGGTGTATGAGACTGGGGGAGCCTTAGTGACTCCTGTACAAACACTCGTCACCTCCAAGCTATAACTACTTAACTTTACAGGTCACACAACAGCGCTTGTCGTTCCCTTCAATTCTTATTATGGAAGCTAAGTCAGACTTACGGTTGACAGGCTTCTGCCGGCAATGTCGCTCCTTATATAGATTAAGCAGTACCTCTACTACTTACTTTATTATTATTTATGAATTGTGTTTTGATATTAAATTATTCAGGAAAATTTAAAGAACCTGAAGCGAAGGTGACAAGAATCAGCTGATGGCTCTTGACCAACTCCTGCAGGTCACTGGTGTTACTCACGGTGATCAAAGGAGCCAAACATTATTAATAAAGACACTGAAATTTGCTGAAATAAATAAAATTCAGTGTTGATGAGCGAAATGATTAATGGCATTTAACAGTGTGTGGTCTGGTCGTCAGGGTTCGGAGGCAGTCAACAACTCACACAAGAAACTCATGCCACCAAACAATTAAACAAAAAATAATAATTAATTCGGTGTTATACCAAACCTTGGGATAAAATGTATCTATCTATTTATCTTGATAGATAGATGGATATAATATAACCCAGAGAAACAAAGGCGTGTAATTGTGGTCATGCAGCAGGGAGGAGCCGAGCCCACTAGCAGGGTGTCAACAGGGCCGGTGGTCGTCTGCAGCTCTTGTTTATTTATTTTTCACTGATTAAATGAATTCATCTACTCCATTTCTCAATGTTAGTTGTATATTTCTGGCGCAGAGTACTGCAAGTCCTGGAATGACTGACCCCAAGATGTAGGTGAAAATTTCTCTTTCCGCCTCTCTAGTGTAAGCTGCAGCAAGCATCGAGATCCTCAATGATGCTACATCTCCTGAGACAGTCACTGAGGGATAACCACCTTGCAGGACTCCGGCAGCATTCCTGTAACGACCCTCTTCACCTCTGTCTCTTTCCTTGCTTGGAACATAAAACTTGTTTTTCTATATTAACTCAGCAAACTTAAGTTTTTATCACACTTTTCTTTGAGACAAACAGTAAATGCTTCTACCGCCGGCTTTCACGACACATCCCAAACGAGACGGGCGGTGGCAGCGGAGTCAACTGAGTTTTGTGTCTCCGTATGCCACAGGTAGTCCGTCTGCCGCCAGTTCGCGAGCCCCATCGGCAAGCATTAGGTAGGCGGAAGACGGCAGGGAGGAGGGAGGGGAGGGGGTGGGGTGAAGACGGAGAGTCAAGTGGCCCCTCCCCTCCCCCTTCACGCCCGGGCTGGGGGGTAAACACTTAGGCACACGTCAAGCTCCAGGTTCCTGCCATCAACCTTTTACCGAATGTGAGCTAGTTCTGGCCCCCTCAAGTGCGTGCCTTCCTGGCTCTACACTACACTCTCCATGTACTAGGGTGTGTACATCTTGTGTTGGAATTTGTACATCGTGGGCTGGGGTGTGTAAATCTTGGATTGGGGTGTGTACATTGTAAGCAGTGCAGCGTGTACAATCTGTTCATGGTAGGATATTTTGTCTTCTGGGGTGTACATCGTAGTACATATTATAATAGTGTGGTACTAAATATATGAGGAGTGTGTGTGCAGGCGTCAGTAGTAGTGTGGGTGTGAGGAGAGTCGGGGTGGGTGTGGTGGGTGTGGTGGGTGTGATTGTAGGGGTGTGGGTGGGGTATGTGTGGGTGGGGAGAGGGAGGAGGCCAGAGAGCTAGCGAGAAGTCATCAACCAGCACCTTTGAGTAGAGCGATTATCTCAGGAATGCCAGAACCTGTAGAGGCGAGAACAGGTGACAATGTGGCCACAGCCCTACACATCTGCTACACATGGCCACAACCTCCACACCTGCTACATATAGTAAGTTATAAACACATTTGCCTCACTGTGGCCAATCATATATACTCACCTGCTTCACTGTGGCCAAATGTTCACACACCTGCCTAACTGTGACACACACACACACACACACACACACTTTCACGCTCACACGCACGCGCAAACACACACACACACACACACACGCACGCAACACGCACGCACACACACACACACACACACACACACACACACACACACACACACACGCACTTTCACGCTCACACGCACGCGCAAACACACACACACACACACACACACACACACACACACACACACACACACACACACACACACACACACACACACACACACACACACACACACACACACACACACACACACACACACACACACACACACACACACACACACACACACACAGTAATCAGGTACTATTAAATCAATGAAAATAAAATCTATCTCTAATAACAAAAGAAAAAGGACCAAAAATAAAAATTAATATAAATTATAACTACTTACAAAATCTAAGACATTGCAATAAAAAAATAAATACAAGTTAAAAATAGGATAATTTAGTTTAATGAAGCACAGCGGAGAAATGAACGATGAGCCAATAATGTTGACCTGAGAGTCATGTGTAACAACAGGACCAGGAGGGGTGTACACTAGTGCAGGGGGGCGTATGAGTGACTAGCAGGAGGGTGTACACTAGTACAGGAAGACGTACATTAGTACAGGAGGATGTACACTAGTACAGGAGGGTGTACACTAGTACAGGAGGTTGTACACTAGTACAGGAGGATGTACACTAGTACAGGAGGGGTATACACTGGTACATGAGGAGTGTACACTAGTACAGGAGGTTGTACACTTGTACAGGAAGATGTACACTAGTACAGGAGGATATACACTAGTACAGGAGGGTGTACACTAGTACAGGAGGTTGTACACTAGTACAGGAGGGTGTACACTAGTACAGGAGGGGTATACACTGGTACATGAGGAGTGTACACTAGTACAGGAGGTTGTACACTTGTACAGGAAGATGTACACTAGTACAGGATATACACTAGTACAGGAGGGTGTACCCTAGTTCAGGAGGGGTGTACACTAGTGCAGGAGGGATGTACACCAGTGCAGGAGGGTGTACACTAGTACATGAGAGTGTACACTAGTACATGAGAGTATACACTCGTACTGGAGGGTGTACACTAGTTCAGGAGGGGTGTACACTGGTACAGGAGGGTGTACACTAGTACATGAGTGACTACTCGTACAGGAGGGTGTACACTAGTGCAGGAGGGGTGTACACTAGTGCACGAGGGTGTACACTAGTACATGAGTGTACACTGTACAGGAGGGTGTACACTAGTGCAAGAGGGTGTACACTAGTACAGAGGGGTGTACACTAGTACATGAGAGTGTACACTGTACAGGAGGGTACACTAGTTCAGGAGGTGTGTACACTAGTGCAGAATGGGTGTACACGAGCACAGGAGGGTGTACACTAGTACACGGGGTACACTAGTTCAGGAGGGGTGTACACTAGTGCAGGATGAGTGCACACTAGTACTGGGAGGGTGTACACTAGCATGAGAGAGTGTACACTAGTACAGGAGGGGTGTACACTAGTACAGGAGGGTGTACACTAGTACAGGAGGGTGTACACTAGTACAGGAGGGTGTACACTGGTACAGGAGGGTGTACACTGGTACAGGAGGGTGTACACAAGTACAGGAGGGTGTACACTAGTACAGGAGGAGTGTACACTAGTACAGGAGGGGTGTACACTGGTACAGGAGGGTGTACACTCGTACAGGAGGGGTGTACACTAGTACAGGAGGGGTGTACACTGGTACAGGAGGGTGTACCCTAGTACAATAGGGTTGTACACTAGTGCAGGGGGGAGGTATACAGGGGTGGTGTACACTACACGACTAAAGTATTCCCCGTGTTACAGGGGCACTACTGAGGGGTACAGTTCTGTGTATCGGGTACATAAAGAAAGCAACAGGGATTTATGGTCTTAGTTTAAAGTCCCGTTAATTCCTCTCCTTCCATCACGTCCTAAAATTCCATAAAATCCTCTTTCTAAAATCGTGTTACCTTTTATTTTTTTGTCCTACAAGCTATGAATCTACAATTTTGTGCGGCTTAAAATCTAAATAACAACTTGGTAATCTCCTAAAATTTTCAAATCGGTTATGATGTAAACTCCTGGACATCTTTTCTAGCCTCTGACTGTAATATCTGAAGTGGTAAAATGTAATAAACCATACATTATAAAATCCAGTAATGACTAAATGTTAAAATCCATTGATCTCCTCCTGAAGTTCATTAACCTGTTCAGATCCACCAAATCCTCAAACCCTACAGCTCTGGGTCTCATAGTTTTCTTTAACTCGAACAAAGTTTGGAATTAAGGAAACTGTGGTCATAGTCACCCGGGAACAATGTGAACCACAACTGTAATATATGCACACACTAGTTCAAGTCTTAAGGAGGAGAGACTGGAGGAAAATTAGGTTTTTTTTATTTCCTAATAAACATAAGAAAAACTAATAATACACATTGGAAATAATATTTATTCACTACTAT